CCAATTTAAGGGTACTTATCACAGAACAACGGCAATTTTCTGACAACAACCGCATGCGTCATATTTGTGTAATGCAGCCCCTAATGGACCAAGCCGCATGTGCGCGTCCCTTGCCACACAGTGGCTCGCAGTGCGGCGTTGCACTTAAACCGGGACACGACAAAGGCACCGTCCGTGTACACGCACGCACGCATATACATACGTGCTGTGTGGTGGCCTCTTAGCGTGCCGTATAAATGCGATTAATTCCCACACGGGCTCGTGATTTAAAGAAAATCGCCGCGGTCTTAAAGCTCGGGTTTTTTTTGGGGGGTGGTTGCCTCTCCGTATAATCAGCGTCTCAGGTGGCGCTTTCATCTTTCATTGCCGCCACAATTGAGCAGCTTTTGTAGGAAACAAACTGTTAAGATATTCCTGTATATTTACATAAAGGTATACTTGCACTATACGCACGAAACTATATGGGCCGCGGGGCACGGTCAGTCTTTGTAAGCCCCGTTTTGTATGGAGTGACCTGAACTCCGCATTGCGTGGCCCATCCTTTGTTAGACTGGTCACGTGTCCACCAATGTGTCAGTATCAATTCTAGATTTGAAGCTTTCGTGACTGCAATGATTCATATTCTTAGGTTTTTTCGGTAAATGGTTGGAGGAGTGGTGGCTTCTGCAATCTCTCATTTACTTGATACAGCTGTCGTGGCTGTGACGGTACCACCTGAAGACGGAAGCTTGTGTTGCCTCCGAAACGTCGTGATTTTTATTTTATTTTACTGTCAGTATCACTTGTACGAGTGATGTGCACACGGGGGCTCAGTTCACGTGTTGGTGAATGTTCTCCGTTGTGCAATGTTTTTAAAGAAAATCTGTCAGTCTGCAATGTATATATGTAAAAATGTATGTTGAACTTTTTTTGCACCATACGTAGCCAAGCGCGCTAATCGGAGATGCGGGGGAAGGACAACAAACTAAACACAAAAAAGCAGTTCTAAATAAATTACTTTTCAACCTCGATTTAAACGTGCATAGCTCCAGTGGCTTCCTAATATCGGAAGGGCGTTCCAGACGGCCACGGAAGCACATCTGAAAGCGCGCGATGCAGTGACCGTCTTTACTTACAGCTGATGATTATCACAGCTGATGATTATCACAGCTGATGATTATCACAGCTGATGATTATCAAGATTCGTGTGGCCCTAGTGGTGGATCCATGGGGAAAGGGGGTGATTGCCCCCCCCCCCCCGAACCTTATTCATACAGTATTCACAATGCTAAATCCAATGCATGTTTTTCTAGATATATATTAATACTGGTAGGAACCTCCTGGTTACACCAGCCCACATGGGATTATTGTGTCCGTCGTGCAGGGAGGGGCTGGGTGGGGAGAGAGGGGCTGGGTGGGGAGGGGAGGGTGAGGAGGGGCGCTGGGTGGGGAGGGTGGTAGGGGCTGGGTAGGGGTGGGAGGGGTGGGGCTGGGTGGGGAGGGGCTGGTCACCCCGTGGTGCCCTTATAAAACTCAACGTTTAACCTACTCACGCCGGCTTGTGCCCGCCCTCACAGTCGGGCATATTTGCGGAATACACCACGCCGCCGTTGACCCTGGCCATTGACCGAGCAACCCGACGTTCCTACCAGCTCCCTCCGCAGGAATGTGTTGTAGGGCCCTGTTTAACAACCTTCAACATTTTATACAGCCCCGGGACACCCCCCCCCCATCACCCTTGGAAGTTTCTAGATCCACCTCTGGTCTGGCCCAAGATGTGTGGGCAGTAGCCGAGTAGTAAAGTGGGTTCACAACCCACTTTACTAACTCCGACCAAAACTATCACGTTGCCATACATAGCAGGCGTGACCAAAAAGATCTCCAAAATTGTAAACAAACATAAGATCCAAGTCCGATTCAGTACAGTGCATACAATCCGTGATTTGATTCCATCTGTGAAGGATGTCGTTCCTGACTTACAGTATCCTGGAGTCTACAAATTGAGTTGCATTTGTGGTGATTGCTACATTGGAGAAACGAAACGTCATGTTTCTGATCGTGTCCGCGAGCACTAGTCAGATCTGAAACACGGCAGAACTGATTCTTCGGCCGTTGCCGATCATTGCTACAACTCGGTGGGCTCTCATGAAATTGTCTTTTCCGAGACCAAGGTTCTCTGCAAACCTCCTGGCTACCATCAAAGGATTGTACACGAAGCCATACAAATATACAAACACAGACATAATTTCAACCGTGATGACGGTTACAAACTGAGTAATCATTGGAAAGATGTGATTAACCATGCAAAAAAGATTTAACATACCATGTTTAGTGGTTGTCTCCTTGTCACAGGTTGAGTCACAAACCGTACCTCTCCATAACAAAGGCTCACCCTCTTGAGCCTCACCTTACCATATTAAAAAAAAGTGTGCTGTATTTGGCCCTTGCCCTCTCCCCCCTTCTCCAACCATTATATAAACGGAGTGGTAGCTCCTGCAATCTCTCATTTACTTGATACAGCTGTCGTAGCTGTGACGGTTCCACCTGAAGACGGAAGCTTGTGTTGCCTCCGAAACGTCGTGATTTTTATTTTATTTTACTTTTATTAATTTTAATGTTTTACCTACGTGACTTTACCGAAAAAACCTAAGAATATGGGTTCACAACGCCTGTGTCGGCCACCGAGACAACACAATTGTGTTCTTGAGTCAACCCCCAAGTTTCTCACTGAGATCAAATTGCAAGTTTTCAAGTGCAGAGCTTGGTGGCGTCAGCCTGACCGGCAATGACTGCAATTCATTTTACACCTTAGTTGGGGCTCAGCTGTAGTTTTAGGTTAGAGGTTGAAGCACCACTCGGCTGCACGAATAAAGAGAGCACACTGGAGTTTATGCAAGACATGCCCTTGATAGGATGTTTCGCAAAATCCATTAATGTTAGCTAATGATTTCCCAAATTTATATTTTATTCTAAATTCCAGTTGATGACCACAAGCCCCAAACCTACAAAATGCCAAGTTTCCAGCAGCAAAGACATTTTGAAGGTGCAAGAGATACGAATGAATGTTTCTTGGATTAAGCAAGGTGATACGAACTCGAGAACATTTACGATCGAGGGGAGATTCCAAGGTGGAGCAGTGCGAAGGAAGAAGCAAAAATAAGTGTTCAGATTCATCGTCAGGGTTGGACGGAGTGCGAATGAGACAACAACAGTTGGGTAGATTGATTACTCAGCAACAGCATCCAATGTACAAGCGATATGATATCGATGAGGCTACTGACTGGCAGTGAGTGACTGATTGGAGTGAATCAATAAGTGCTGGATCATCAATCAACATTATTATATCAAGTACACTGGGTGCTTCACTCCAAATATGATGGCAGCATTCCGACTTCGGCTGAATTTGTGCATTGCCTTGAAGTAATAATTGTTCGGAGTTAAAAGGAATCACAAAACATCTCTGTTGTTCGCATGTATCTTGCAATCACAGTTGGGATTTAATCAGTGAAATAGAGAGGTGAAACATGTTTACCAGACTTGGGCAATTAAATAGATTGAGCCCCATGTCTCTTCCAATGAGGAGAATTGAACCTGGCTATTACTTGGATGGCAAACCACGTGAGAATATCAGGTGTTGTATAGACTTTCGCGGAGGTGGTCAGTAGATGATAATATGGCAAAGGATTATTGCATTTATCTGTTAAGAGCTTTGAGTGTTAATGCCTCGTGTTTTTTTTCTCTCTCCAGGTATTCCAGTTTCATCCCACGTGCCAACCACTTATTAATGTGTAAATAGAAAACAATTCCAAATCAAAGATCCTACAAAAAAGTATTGAGACTCAGTGAAGCTTTCCGGGGGGATACATTGTTATTATCGTTATCCCTGCATCATCATGTCTCTATGTTGAATACAGTCCATCCTTCTCTATTACAAATAGTACAATATTTTTTCCTTTACACTAAAATAAAAATAAAAGTGCCCCATAGCGGACTTAATGCACCTTTATCTGCAGTTTCTTTAACTATGCAAGTTGGAAACTGCTACACATTTACATGCCACCATACAGAGATTTCATTTAAGACGTAAACATATTTTAATGCAGCCATGATTTTTTTTAGCTTCCTATTAAAAGCCATTTCAGTGGGCAGTGTTCTTTCGCTTTGTGCTTTAATGTATGGAACCCCGAGATACGTTGTTCAATTTTATTTTCAAAGAAAAATGGAGCGAGCTCCCGGCACTCGCGTGATTGCAGGCAGAGGGAGGACAGAGCCCCAAAAGCTTTCAAAAGCAATCACGGCGTTTCCATTACGGTTTGTCACTGAACACTGACAAGCACAAGGACCCTGCACATGAAGACACATTAAAAGCATGAATGCATATGGAGGCAGGGCAGGTGGTACTAAGCCCCCATGGTCCAAAGCCCCATTCCGTAAATTTGGGCAAGGCCCTCTCGCTAATGACAAAGATTGTTGGACTTATGTGAATGATTCACATTTTAGTTTGTTGTTCGTATTGTGAAATGTTTTTCTTCTTGTGAACTTGTTACTTTCGGCATTGATACATCTAATGCTATAGTTCATACTAATAATACACGTATTGACGCAAATGTTAATCACAACTTTGGCTCGAATACCAATATTAACTGAAATCCTAAGAATTACCAAAACCATATTCCTAACTCTAACCAAACTACATCCCTAAAGGCGTAACTCAAATAACAATGACCACAATCCTATTATTTACCAAAGTTATAATCCTAACAACCTAATCACATTCTCAGCCTTGAACACAAACAATGACCACAATCCGAAGACTGACCAATCGTGAGTCCAACACCAACTTAACCACCACCATACACTTAACATGAACCATAAACACAATTCTATCCTCTAACACTGGCATTCAGCACCACGATATCAGCTTCGTTGCCTCTCTTCTTCGTGCTGATATTGATGGCATGCCGGCGGGCATTCATTTCAGGGTGAAGTCATGTTCATAAGCGACGAGCAACACGTTGTCCAGCAGTCAAAATGTTTTTAATGATGAACACACTTGGTACAGCTGCCGTAAAACAAAATAAAAACTCTTCTATAACAGAGCCAAACATACAGGGCAGTAGCACAAGCACACAGTACCACACAGAGGACAGCCCATGAGCTCACATGAACATTGAACTAAAGTTGTAAGACATTAATAAAATGCAGACCCCAAAGAGGTGTTCAATTGTGGGAGAGTTTCTGACATCAAGATGTACAGTCATAGCCAGCAGACACTGTTAAATATATCATCTGATGTGCTCTTATTAATACTCTATGGAATTTGATTAACATAGCAATGCGCTGGCTGAATCTCTTTCACGGGCTGCGTCCGATTCACGCATTGTTGACGATTGTTTTTTTGTCCCGATTTTAATCGAAAAGGTGACAATATCTCCATCGGACCAACGATGGGGCAAGTCGTTGGGAGTTTCGTCAAGAAGTAAAGATGCCCCGATACATTTTAATTAGGTCACTACAATAATGTGCGTGCAATTGACATTTTAATTAAGTGTCAAAACTTTTGTATATGGTAATTTTGAAAAGGCTGTGATATTTTACTTGTTTTCTTCCCCAAGGAGTACCAATGCAAGACTATTTGTAATATAGCCAGAAACTAAATCTGGCAGTCTGTTATTGATGGACTTGTTATTTCAAAGGGTATACATCTGGGTTCAACGTGTGCCCCCCCCCCCTCTTTTATTCATAACATGTCAAATACACCAGTATACTGGTTTTATTGGGTACATTTGTTAATGTGGCTTTTTGCCGATTACCCCATCGTGAAGGACAATCAACACTGGTTTAAGAGGAACAGGTCACTTTTTAGGCATTGGTTCTTCGTCACAGCACATGAATAAGAGAGCCACCAGCACAACTGTCAATTCTCTTGAATGACGTCAAAGTTATCTCTAATATAAATTTTACACAAATCTAAAATCTTTGGCAAATTCTTTAGTCGGACGCACGTTCACATGTGTGCACATCCAATCCCTCCTACAACTGAAGACCTTTTTCACATTTCGCCGCAACATAAACCACAACACTTAACGTATGCTAAATAAAACACAGGTAGAAATTGTAGCGCTCGCACATAAGTTTCGTCAACGATGGCTCACATTACTCAAGGGGTATAGACATTTGTCACACTGCATTGCAAAATATATATTTTTTGCCAACAAAAAAAATAAGACTTTATTTTTATTTCTTCTTTTTTTTAATCTGCAAAGCCATTTTTTTACGTCCACCCTTTGAGTTTTGAATAAAACCATCTGAACGGTGAATTTAACAGAAATTATTTAACAATGGCGAGCTGTACGTTATATACATGCAGCTACGGCAACCGGAATTTGAAATTACAATTCTCTGTGGCGAACAGCCTCTCTTGACTCAATTCACCTTCACGACTTTAATTGCCAGTGTAAACATTTGCAGCGAAAGGTAGCGGTCGAATGAGGTGCCATGTAAATGATGAACCTTCTACACCAAGAATCATTCCTTCAATCGCTTTTTCACAAAAATGTGCAATTATACACCGTGTAACAAAAAAATGTGTTCCTGAGTAGTGTTATTTCCTAATTGCTTATGCCTGAAAAGTACAGAAAATGGCTATTAATCCCCACAAACTTTGATTTTGTGACCAGGACAGTGATATTTTGAAATTGACCTATTTTCAATGAGAAAACGTGCCCATTTGTGTCTTCTCGTTCACATAAAGTCCTGGTCACGAAAGCAAAATTTGTGGGTACTGATAGCCATTTTCTATACTTTTTAGGCATAAGCAATTAAAAAATAACACTTAGTACCCAGGAACAAAAAATGTGTTACATCGTGTTGTGTCGATATTTGAAAACCTCAGTGGGCTTTGCCTGATAGGATGGGATGGTTTAGTTGTATGTGTTTGGGTGATTTTACCTTTCTTGTACTTTGCACTATCATGTTTTTGTACTGTTTGTTGTTGTAACGTTCTTACACCCCCCCCCCCCCCCCGGACATCTGTTAAAGAGCTTTATAGCTCATCAGATTCCTCCAGAATATTCAGATTCTGAATGGAAAGCCCTTCATCAGATTTCATGAATTCATATAAACTTGCGATCAGGAACTGAAGTTTACAGACCATCCATTGATTGGTGATCCAATTATCTTGCAAAACACCGCTAATCAATTTGCTCACGTTTAGTGCTGAACCGCTCACACTGGCAATTAACCGTCAACGGCTGCATTTTGAATTTGCCTTTTTTTCAGAGGATTTCGTGTAAATGTCAATCCGGCTTGCCGCAGGGAGCAATTAAGTGCTTTTTTTGTTGTGTTTCAAATTAATCTTAAATCTACAGCATTACATTCACAAACGTCAAAACCGTACCAACTGGCCATGCCAAGAGACCGAGTCGAGCAGACGTTGCTGGCTGGAACCCAGAGGAGACGATGACTGGAAGTGAATCGCTAATTGGTCTCCTAGCGGGAAGGCCACAATGTTTAGAGATGTTTCAAAGTCAGGGATCAACAACTCCAAAAACTCCAAAGGAGACACAAAGGATCTCGCCACCTCTCGTTACCGCTGTTCTACAACAAATGCAGCACATTGCAGGCAGTGGCCCTTCTGTTCTCAAAGGTGGCAACTAGTCTTGTAACAAGTCAAAAACCAGAACACCCCTCCCGGAGATTCGATAATCACATTTCTAGGTCACGATCTGATTCCAGAATAGTTTTTTTTCGTCTCATTTTTAACGTCTTGTTTGTATTTTTTTTTCTAGTTTTATTCACTTACAAGCTTATCATTTGCATATAATTTGCTTAAGTTGTAAATAATCGATTCTCACATGCATGATTCACTGCATGTAGAGCAAAACAAAAAAATCATTACGAATAGATGCGTCTAATGATGAAACCTGTTTTCATCCAAAACTCATCTGCCTTCTGTTGAGCAATAACTTCACCAGCATCCCCTAAAACAATGTTCACAAGCTTTCATTTTTATATTTTTGATGCAATATACGCTTTGGATATGCTGTTCACTATTACTTTAATTGATGTGTGCCCTCTATGGTTTCCGTCGAATAATTGGGCCGGTGGGAAGCTTGCAATTATGCACTTGCTGCGTTACGGGAGTTCTCAGAATCATGGCTCAACAACGCATTCTACGCAGCATGACAACGGCTAAATTGAGTCTTTTGATTTCACCGCAGATAGCGCAAATATAATCAAGGTGCTTCACCTGCAGCCGTATTGCATTCCCCTTTAAGCCTAACTTGACATTAACCTTTACAAGGGATCAAAGCAAGCAACCGGGCTACTGGCCAATCACTGTTTGCCTGCCCTGAACGAAGTTTGCGATTGGTTGGTCGATTCCTGGTGGGTGGCGATTATGAGAAAAATCAGATATCGGTGTTAAACGCAAGTGCGATTAAACTTAATTGACAAAGCAAAAGTATTCTGTGGCAGCTGTATAGGTCAAGATGTGCAATTCAAACACATGGCAGTCGACTACATAGGTGGGCAGTGTTGGTTATGACTACAGCTCAGTTAATTCCATGTTGGGAGTAACACAATAGCCTCACGGCGATTGAAAGCTGCACAATTGTGAAATCCATGGCAGGTTTGGACAGCAATCTCACACGGGTCAATAAGCTTCTGCTGGGCAAGGTCCACGCAAGCCAAGCAGAAGGGAGAACGGTCGGAGTAAGAGGTCGGTCTAGATGAGTCAACTTGTCTGGATTGCATGTTATCTCTACACCAGGCAGATACATTTAAAAATTATGATAAATAATAATGGCAGATAACATTTTACTCCTGTAGTATGTGATAGATATTTTGGAGAGGCAATTGTGCCTCTCACAAGGTCTCAAGATGTTACATTCAGATTACATTTCCTTTGAGTTATCTATAAATTTAACAATCACAATGAATTTATGTAGGAAGCTGTCAAAGTTTTACATTTTCTACCCAATATTTAACCTTTTTTGCAGTAATTCCTTTCGGCCTTTTGAACACCCAATAATATTTTTCTAAATGTACTCTGTATATTTCACAGCAGTCATTTATAAAATTGCTAAAGAAATTGTACACACGTGAGGTAAGACTTAATGAAAATGGGGTAAGTTCTTTCACGGCCCTCCCATGCTTAACAAACTATACAAATAAACCAGGTTATAATAATGATAATATACTTATCCAGGAAAGACCAAGTCTCAAGACATTTGGGATAAAACAAGTATGAACACTCAACCTCAAAACTCATATATTTTTTTGAAAGAACATGTGAAGACGCTAATATACGTCTCCATAACATCTACGCAGTGGTGACACGACAGGTCTGTTGCCGTCCTGGTTTGTAACGCACGACCTCTTGATTCCAGACACGTGACCCTATCCCACTCCCCCCTCCTGCAGGCTGGGTACACACTCTCTCAAGGGGGTGGGGCGCTCTCTTAGAGGGGCCCCTCCGAGTAGGCTGTGAAGCTTTTGACCCGGGAGAAGAAGAACGAGGCGTATTTCTTGTCTATGTCAAAGTTGGACTCCACCGTCTCTCCAGTTGCCCTGGAAGCAAAGAGAGACGCCAGGTTAGAGCAAGCGGAGACATTTGTGTCTCTAGGTGAAGTTTTTCATTTTTCAGTTTCATTTATTTGGTATAGCCCTGTGAGCCATTCGGCTCTTGAATCGGGTGCAACCGCAACAAACAAAAAACATGAACAAGAAAACATCTTAAAGTGACTATGTGCAGTGGAAGATACAAAGGGGGAGTGATGCGAGTGAATGACCCCCCCCCACCCTCCCTTGAGACTCAGGAAATTGGTATTTTATGGATAATTACAAGAGAAAATGCATTGAATGTTTTTTTTTTATGAATGTTAAACCCTATTTTAAAAGCTTGATATTTCAGGACTGCCAAACCCATTGAGAAGTCTCTATATTTGCCCGGGTGAAGGTGTTCCACCTTGTTTTGGAAAATGGTCCTGGAAAATGTCACAAATAACTTAAAAATGGTTCTGTATACACAGTAAGGTGACATTTGAGTTTTTTTGCATTTCACCCAAACCGAAATAATTTAATCTTTAACAGTTGGAATAAGACATATGAAATGACAAACCAAATATCAAGTGATTTAAGGCATGCACACATCCCAGACACCACAAACACCCATCATCACACACAGCAACACCACACCATCCAGCACACGACCCCAACACCTCACCACAACCATCCACAACACAGCTCATGGTCCCCCACACCTCAATGTGCGCAATCCCCCATCATGCCTCTAGTTTCGCCCCGATGCCCACGTGCACCCACCGGCAGGTGACTTGGCATGAATGTTGCAGCCACAACAGCTTGTTGAATCGCTGCCGCCCCCCGCACACCAACTGCAGCTCCACGTGGAAGCGCTGCTCCGACTCGGGCGGTGCCACACGGCGGTAGCGGCGGTAGCGCTGGAAATCCCCGCCCCTCTGCACGAGATCAAGCACGCGTGTGCATGCGTAAGGCACAGTTAATTAACTCACGACAGAGATTACTCCCCACCCCATCAGCGCCTCGTCCACTAAAGAATTCACAGCACAGAGACCTCCATTAGTTGCGTTCACCACAACGACACTCAGTGATGAATACTTTTTTTATATATAAAAGCTATTTTATTATTTGTGTGAAAAGGCTTTAACAGATTGGTCTAATTTTAACAAATTGTTTTACGCACCTAAAATTGGTTCATGTTAAATGTTGTTTGCGGCTTGGCAGTTGGCGCAATTAGCTCACAATCAGAAGGTTGCGAGTTGAAATTCTGGTTTATGATTGATTCAGCATATCATCCCTTCAGGGTCAATAAAATTACTACCACTCTGCGAGAAAGTCAGCATAGACTCACCCCTGCTGTAGGAATGTGAAATTTCCACCACTGGCTCAATGCTCTCAACAAGGAGATGACAGCTCTGGCTCAACGATCTATTAAGAGGTCACTTTGCTTTGGTTTCAGTCACAATGCCATGCTGGGCGAGAGGCCCTCACCTCCTTGTCGGGCCTCTTGGTGAGGATGGAGAGGACGCGTGTGTCCCCGTTAGAGTCCTGTGTCATACGGAAGTGGCCGTACAACACAGCGTCAATGCTGCGGTGTGACAGGTTGTTAGGGACAGATAAACGGGAGAACGTTTTAGAATACATATCTTAACGAAGACGTTCAACAAAACAGGACAAAATTATGAAAAAACATTAAATGGTTATAAATTCAACAAAAGACAAGTTGGGACATATGAGTTGGGCCACTTTCAGACAATGTTAGAGAGCAGAGAACTTTAAACAAGGCGGCAAGGGCTAGTCAGTTTTGGATGCATCTCCTACACTTAAAATACTCTTGTCCACAGCTACCATTAGGGTCGAATGACATCTGAAATTCTTCTTCTAAACCTTCACCAATGCCTACCGACCAGCGTGGTGAAGTGTCGTCAAACAACCAACACGACCCAACAGTGTGGCGAGGTTCTCATCCAATAATCGCCTGACATGAGGGCTATAAAAGTGCGTACGTACAGAGTAGGTGGCATGCGAGATTTGAATGGCGGCTCCCGTATGCGGCGTTGCTCGTCGCTTACCGCGTGTGCTTTGTGCGCAGACGTGACACGATGGACTGGGGGTCGTCTGGAGTTGTCAGCATCATCACCAGCCCGTCAGGGAAGAAGCGCAGATACCTGCAGTAAACACGGACACATCGCACAGAGGTCCCGGAGGCAGCCGGGCATCCAGTGATCTAGCCCCCTTCTGCCAAGCGATCAACCGTTCAAGACCCGATCTTTTGTCTCATTTGCATTGCCCGCTTCATGTACCGTGCTTCGTTCGTTCCATGAGCTGAAAGGTAACACTTTTATACTATTGCATGAAATTTGCATCTCATAATAATTGATACATTTTCATGAACACGGTTGGATTGGTCTAGAGTGAAAGTGTGTTCATTTTAACTGGTGAAGCGCTACCTGCTTATAGGGGACAATGCATTTTTTTTTACTTAACCAGGTATGCACGCTCCACACTGAGGTGCACTAACTCCAATAGAACAATGGAAGAAGTTGTTCTGTACTGATCCAGACAAGCCTGTCTCAAAACTCTTACTAATGAAGGTTTTTTCACATGTAGTAATGAATGGAAATATGCAAACAATCCACAAATATAATGGAAAAACATTCAAAGGTCCACACATGGGTGCGAGATTCTCCTTGCTATCTTGCCATCTCAAAGCAACCTCAAAGCCCAATGGCTTTTGGTAATTTGAAACACCAACCCAAGGCATGAAATAAACCAACTAGTTATGAAATTGGTATCTTTACTTGTGGGATCGAGCCAGTAGTGTAAATTCCACATCCTATGGCGGTGGCCAAGTTTATCCAGCGACCAAACTGTGATTACGTCCCACACCGTGGTATGCATTTTATTGACCCCAGAGATGATGGGTTCACTCAGCCCCCGACCGGGATTACAACTTCCAATATTCGATTGCGAGTCAAGTGCTCCAACCGCAGTGCCACTTTCCCAGATACATCAAGGCCAAGATGTCATCATGGCCAAAGCTGATGTTGTCACCAGACCTCTCCAATGCGTTCTCCACAGATCCCTCTGCTGCTCCACAATAGAAACTTGACTTCCAAGATCTGCCCGAACAGGATCCCAAGATCTGCTCTCAGGGCTTCCATTTTGGTCACCAGATTCGTGAACATCATCCCAATGCGGGTGTTGCCAATCGCCCTCACCCATTCTGCGCATGTCCCACCCAGCACCACCAGACACATCCTTATCGCTTCACAACTCTAATCCTTCTCTATGGGAACCTCATTTGCCAGTAAAAATATAATTGGTTTTTTACCCTTCTATCTGGCAACAAAACTGACACCTTTTTACAAGGAGTCATGTTTGCATAAACCGCAATACCTGCAGTCATAAATACAAACAAAAGACAAAGGCGTTTTGGCGTCATCTGGTCCAACCCATGTGAGACTAGGCTCTAAGGAAAGCTGTCTCGGGTGTGGACCAATCAACTTCAAGGACAGTGCACATTATCAGAGTTATGTCTTTTGTTTGTATTTATGACTGCAGGTATTGCGGTCTATGCAAACATGACTCCTTGTAAAAAGGTGTCAGTTTTGTTGCCAGATAGAAGGGTAAAAAAACAATTATCAACTCAATCCTTTCCCATTTCGAGACATCTGTAAGTTGCAGGGTGGGTCCCGTTCACCACTGAATCTCGGAACGCGCAAGCGGTTAGCATTCAAACTAGATTCGGTTACCATTCATTTTATTGTGAGGCATCGTGTCATTGTTTTTAAGGATAATTGTCCTCACCGCAAGAACACTGTAGCGACACGACTGCACTCTATGACAGCTGATGCCAAACCGTGCCACACGCCCTTCGGAATGGCCTTTAACTTCCGATTGTGACCAAGACGTGGAAGAAAAACTGATGACGTACACATACATACACGTACGTCATTGGAACGAGAAAGGGTTAATGGTTGAAATCTATCCACTAAATTCGCCCGACTCACCTGAAATATTCAACCAGGTGCCAGGGGCTGTAGAAGCCGTCCAGGGATTGCTCGCCCTGCCGAATGTAGCTCACTCTGCTGATGTACACCCCTGCATCCCGCAGAGCAGCGCTCGTTAACGCATGCAGCTATGAGCACGCGAGGGTCAAAGCCGACGATCATCATGTGTGAAGTCTGGGGATCATCATGCCTATCTTAAATCACCTGCAGTGTCTGCCTTTCTCTTTACTGCCTCTCCAATCTCGATTGTTGTTCTCGCTTGTCTATACTGCGTCATTTGTAGTCATTGTCTCATTTATTCAGTTCAACCAACAGCCTAACACATTATTATTATTTGAACTTTGTGTTCGCTCAGTTTCCCTAAATATGACATCAATGTATCACATGCATACATAAAAAAATATATTACATTCAAAATAATCGTTTATGACACGCAAATCGATGCACGCACTTGTGTAAAGATTTGATTGTAACCGATAAATCGTCGCATGCCCAGTCGCAGGCCAACTGTGGGTACAGCGGCTCGTCATGGCACGAGGTCACAGGGTGTCATTGCCGTGAGGTGAGAACCACGGTGCGGAGGGCTGTGCAGGTGGCCTTGGCGGAGGGAGCGGTACCATCGTAGCGCAGGCGCGTTCGCTCCAGGAACATGTGCCTCCAGGACAGGTAGGGCGACAGCTTGCCCGTGTTACGGCCCCACACCCTCAGGCAGGCCAGCCGCCAAATCTCCGGGTCCCTGTGCAGCGACAAAAACACAGACTTAAATTACCTGCAAACTATTCCATCGGGATTGCAAGGAACAATCGATGGCGAGATGTTAACTACCTCGCCTGGTCAACAGAATGTGGTGGAATTTTGATTTAAAGCTTTAGTGACTGCAGGGATTCATATTCTTGGTTCTTTCGGTAAAGTCACGTAGAAGGGAAATAATAAAATAAAAATAGAAAACAATACAAATTCTCACGACGTTTCGACTGCAACACAAGCAATCATCATCAGGTGTGAAATCCACAGCAAGAAAATGTTCTTGCTCTTGCTGTGGATTTTCTTGCTGTGGATTTCACACCTGATGATGATTGCTTGTGTTGCAGTCGAAACGTTGTGATAATTTTTTATTATTTTTTTATTATTATACTTCTACGTGACTTTACCGAAAGAACCAAGAATAGTGATGTGGTTGGTTGTATATTTGGATGAAAAACAAGACTCGGATTTACCCTTTCTGGCAATAAAACGGGTGTTAAGATGTTCAAACACCAAATGGATACCGATTGCAAGTCGGCATCAAGTCTGCATTAACCACACGTACTCGTGGCAAAGCATGCAAACAAATACGTCCTGATACTATGTGCATTGCCTTTGAAACCGATTGGCCTACACCAGAGACAGCCTTCTTGAAAGTGTAGGCCAATTAGTTTGCTTACCTTTCCTATACTTTGCACTCCTCATCATGTTTTTGTTTATCGTTTGTTGTTTTAGTACGTTCTGACCTGCCTCGACTGGAAAGTTGTGAAAACGAGCTGCATAGCCCATCGAATTCTTCCAGTATGAATACATATTCTGATTTTGACACTCATCCATAGAGGCAGCGACAAACACACCGCACATACACATAAAAGCGAGCTGGATTCACGGAGACCGCTACCGACCTGGCACACATGTAGAATCCCCGACACACCATAGACAGTTGTTCCAGAGAGCGCAGGTCCAGGTCGCTGGATACGACCCAGCGGAATACATACACCAGCACCTCCACAGGCAGCGCTGGGGACACCAAAGCACGGGCAGAGCATAGAGCAGTACCGTCACGCTCACCCGCACGCAAACCGTCGAGCGAAAGTACATCTGCGTGCCCACTCGAGTGTGGGGCGACGCTCATCTTCACTGGCAGGACCAGAGCCAGTGGTGGAAATTCCAGTAACATGTATGTAGAGCTTCTTTCGCACCGTACGTAGCCAACCGTGCTAATAGTAGCAGGCAAGTTGATCCAAAAGGACGTGCATTAAGTGGCATTACTCATTTTATCGACCCAGAAAAGGTGATCGTGATGGGTTGAGTTGACACTGGGCCAGGATTTGAATTTGCGACCTTCTGATTGCGAGTCGAACGCCGACAGCGTTTCTTCATCTGCCAGGTTCTTGCGCTCCAAGCACTCAGCACCAAAGCAATTGCCCTTGCATTAACAAATCGTACCCTCTCTGTCTGCAACGCAAAACCCACACTTCAAAGCATACAACTCTCGCCACAGGAATTTGCCAGTATTCCTCTTCAGCCTTAGCCAATGGCCCAGAGGTCCGCAGACACGCGCACTCGATACGCGCGTACATTCAAGTCGCGGAGGCTCTCGCACGTCACAGAAATTAACGAACCTCCGTCTCCAGTTGCTTTACAAACCAAGAGGCCGGGGGCCAAGGGGGTTGATTTTCTCCACGTTCGGGAGTAACATTGCCAAGATATCATCATCCGCTGGGCCACTGTGCAGACATTCCGTCGCGGCATCTCGCTCGGGTAAACTCTCCGTTCTGCCGCGCCGATGTTTATCGGAAAGGTAGGCTGGCAATCGTGTGGCAAAAACAAGCCTCGCCAGCCAGTCCATAAACGGAGCCTCCTCTCAGGCAATTCAATCGGCAGGCCCAAGCCTTCCAAACCTACCATACGTCCCTTACCAGTTGACCACACCTGACCGATACGAAGGTAACGATGCATTGATTCACCAAATCAAATCAGTTGTAACACTCAAGATACGTGCTTTAAATCATGTGTATGAGCAAACTATTTACGTGTGATAATCTACTAATTACGATTTCTTACAAAATATGCGCGATTCACTTTAAGATTGCGTTCGTTTTTTTGTCTCGATTAGACCGTCTTAGCTGCACTGTCTGGTCTGCACGTTCCATAGCATTGGTTTACAACATCTTGCTTGCCGCATGTCCCCTACCAGACCTATCAACCGTCCATATACCCCTACCAGCGTATGAGTTCAATATTTTATTAAATAATTATGATGCTCTTAGTTACATGTAATCAAAACCGAAGCCATTTATCTCTTAACTTAATAACAAGTAATGACTAAATATTGACAATGTAATATTTCCACATGAACAACACACATCCGTACAGTTTAAGTAATCTTTTAAACACCACACTACACAGCAGGAAAGTTGAGGATCACTGGGCGTGGAATAAAATAAACGGTGTAAACACGAGAGGGCACAAGCAAAGTATGTGGATGGCCGAGGCGTCCAAGTTCATGGGTTCACCGAATTCCATTCGACAGATAAGTACATGGCATTAGAATTGCTAGTGCACACACAATGCGCATACATATTTTTTACACTTATTTATCCAGCAAAGCCTCAGCCAGTCCCACTAATCTTTTGTCAGGAAGATCCTGCCAAGTTTTTGCAGTAGGTGGCGATGACTGCTATGTATATTCCAATTTAGTCATTTCCTTCGAAAACCCGGGTGACCTAACCCAACGTGACCATTGACATTCCGTGACCCGTGTCGCATAACCCTCGAGATATCACTTGGTATCCCTGGGAACCGCCCGTTCCATAATGCATATTTCAACGGTACTATCCCATTCGTACAGTCTGCACCGTCACAATTTATCATTCTTGTGCTCCATCTCGTTTGTTTCGTGGAACTCATTTAAACCATTAGCCTCAATGAATAATTTGCAGTACGCAAATATAATTATAGCCGGACGCAGAATTCGATGCTTGCATCAGAGCATAAGAATCACATCGTCCCGATTAAAGCCCCTGTGACAACACGCACACAAGCGAGTCACAAAGTGCCACGTTCGCGGCATACATTTTGGCAAATGACTCAGGAGGAATAACCCCCAATCGTGAATTAACATTCAAAATCCAATCATTGGGAGACATTTCAACGTCCAATCACCTGCAGGAATCGCAATGTCCAATCGATCAGCCAAGGGTTGCTCAACATCCAATCAGCAGGAAGCTTTGTGGTGATGTTCAGCGATGGTATAGAGCGATGCACATCTGGCTTATCTCATCTGCCGTGATATATTCAGAGAAAGGTGAGCAAGAAAGCATGCTTGGCCATGGTGCTCAGTGAGTTTTACTGCAATCAAAGTGACTATGAACTTCCGAGCATCTGCAGAATCTAGGAAAGCGATAACCCAGAATAGCAATGCGTATCGGGTGAATAAACGCACACGCGTTCATGTTCCTTTTGTGTCACCCGCCGCTCACTTGTTTTATCATCACAGGCGAGCCACGTGGGTTGTTTCTTTTTCAGATGTTTTTCTCTCTCACGTTTCGCCGAGTGGTCGTTATTTTTGTTTGAGAGCCTCAGGTGCTGCACGTAGCGTTAAAAGTGCAGCTCTCTCTCCCCCTCTAAACAATGCTCACGTCAATGATGGGGTTTTACGGTCAAGTTTTGGGTCATGAAGTTGCACAAAAGAATGTATTTACAAAGACGGTGGTGCCTCGGTCACAGCCGGAGAGAATAAGAAAACCGTGGAGAGCGTGACTTCCTTATAATGACATTTCATTCGTCTTTCCGAGGTGGAAAAAAAATCCGAAGCACATTTGTGACTTTCAATTATTATTTCTTTATTTCGTGTAGCTGCGGCACTTGGAACGAGCCGTCAGCATGGATGGGTTCAGGAGAAACCACTTCCGGAGCCCCAAGAAATAAAATAGTAGTGCTTGACAACATTCAACAAGGCACACGGCACGACCTTGTAAATAAATCACACGATGGCTTCACGGCTTCTCGGGCTTTCACGCGCCAAGAGATTCTTTACGTCAATAACGCGATAAAAATTATAAAACAAAGAAATGTTAACGTTCCGAGTGTACCACGCACAATTTACGCCTAAAATCAAGAGCCTTCTTCCGAGCCATGGATTTTTGGATCAGCCTGCGATGCAACCCCTCGATAAAGCACCTTCACAAGCACGGCACTGTGTTGTCGCTTATCGTGCGCGGCCCGGTCTGCTGTGACGATGAGCGATACACGCCCACGCGTGTCTGTGCTTGTTTTACCAAAAAACGTTTCAAGCGCTGGGGAGAAGATAGTCGATTTCTTTAACCGTGTTTTCATACGAAAACAAATGATGCAAAATTATGAGATACGAGCGTGGTAAAAAAAAAATAGATTTTTGGGGGAAAGATATGAAGGAGGGAAAATAAGAGGCGGTCGGTCGCGCTTGTTTTGTGGGATCGCATGCGGACCTCAGTAGAGCAATCACGACTCATTGCTCTATGACATTTCATCCGAGAGCGAAGGCATGAAACACATGAACTGGGTTCTAGATGCGCATGCGAAAATGCGACATTTTCGAGAACGCATACGGTGGAGTGAAGACAGCATGAGCACGGCAGTCGTGCGTGTTTGTGTTGGCGTGCGAATGTGTGCGAGTGTGTGTGCATATATTCATGTCCTGTGTATGGTTGTGCAAGCATGTGTATCAATGTGCTTATGGGTACGGATGAATATGGGTGTGCGAGTGTGTGGCTATGTACCGGTTTGCACGTGTGCAAGTGTGTGCAAGTGTGTGCAATAGAGTGCAGCGCGTGAGTGCAAGTATGCAGGTATGTGTATTTGAGTGTGGGCATATGTGAGCGGATGCGTGCTTCCGAGCGTATGTGTGTGTGCGAGCAAGTGCGCGAGCAAGTGTGTGTGTGTGCAACTGTGCGGTTGTGTGTGTGCAGGTAAAACAGTGCACGCGTGTGCAAGCGTTTGTGGATGCGTGCAAGCGTGCATGCAGGCAAGCGACTCCTTGCAAGTGCGTACGGATGTTTGTGTGCGAGTGCATGCGGGTATGTCAGTGTGTGTAGGTGTGTGAGTGTTCAAGGGTACGTTTTGAGTGTGTGCCAATGTTCTCTCTCACCGGAAATGTGCGTCTGCCTCGACTCGGTGTCCCGCCGACACAGTTTCGGTTGAGCCTCCTGCAGGCTCAGTTCACTTTGGAAGGAGGTGAGGAGGTTCGTCACCGCGTTGTCCTCCACCACCTCGCTGAAGGAAACCACCCATCCACTCGTTCATTGACTGCGAGCTTCCACTCACTCATGCGTTCACTGTCAACTTCCACTTGGGGAGAACGGTCAGCAAATATTACGAGCGATGGACTATACTCAAGCATGGTGGCACACGCCTGTAAATTCAGAGACTTAAGAGGGTGGAGGTTGACGGATTATAAAATCAACAAGAGACAACACAAGGGTGACATAACATCACTTCCTGGCTTTTCCCATTAGGCACCTCCTGTGACGTCCTTTCCCGCTGGTCACTTCAGTTGTTCCTGTGCCGTTATTGTGCAGCATGGCCATAGACAAGGCGTTGGACTTCAGAGATTATACTGCGTCGACAAGACCTTGCGCAATCGCGCCATTTTCTCTTGAAATTATAATGACTGACGCTGCATCGGAGAGAGTGCAGTAGGCCCAGCAATGCTCGCTCAGTCTCAACAACCCCACTATGCTTCGTGCGGGCCGGGCCAAGCTTACCGATTGTCCATGTCTCCTGGCGAGCCATTTTCGCCCTCATAATCATTCACCCGGAATTCGATGTCAGGCACCAGCTGCATCGCCTGCCGGTAAAACTTGATGGCTGGAAGCGCAGAGAAAACAAAAACCGGCAAACAAAGAAAATTGTCGCTATTTTATGTAATGATTTACGCCCCCCCCCCCCCGCCGCCCCACCACCACCACCAGCGTATCAACAACGTCACATTTCGAAATTGCGGTTCAATTCTGAAGTAGTTTTTTTTTTGTTCAAAATCTGAATCTTGATTTATACCGGCAGAATCCGATGAGCTATAAAGCTCTTTTTCACAGATGTCCAGTTATTAGTTTCATTATCCTGTGTGCGGGAGCCACATGGATTGTTACATTGCCGCACTGTGAGAAATGGCGATGGGGTGGGGAGGCCTTCATCCTGCAGTGGACAGATGATAACCGAGATGATGGCTTATTTCGAGATTATACAATCTACAATGTTGAGCGCATGGTACGTTGTGTGTGACTTGTTTTCGATTGCACTCCCTGTGCCTTTGCACTTGTTTGTTTCTTGTCTTTTCCCAGGTCTCCATTGCAAGAGGTTTGGGAAAGACTTGTATGCAGTAGTTGTGTCAAGGTAACTTAACACAAACATGCAATATTTTAATTTACACATGTAAACCACGTGGCCAGATGTTTTTGTTTTACAATTAAATCATTACTTATTACCCTCACTCAGCTATTCGTCTATTATTCAAATTGATAACCTGTTGGCAGAATGTGAAACTTAAAGATGTGTTAAAGATTAAAAAAACTAAGTCTCTTTCATTCCAAAATATATTGGTTATCTGACCACTCTTGCATAGTTTTAGCTTGGGACGTGATTCTTATGGCCATTTTTCCTCCAATGTTGCTATCAGACAAACACAATTTCCACTTGGAACTCCCGTGGCAAGCAGTTGTACCATGTTGGGCAGAGGGTGGCTCTGGAGGATGTCAGAACTACTTCCGAAGTTGGTCCCAAGGGGCCCGCTTTAGCCACACTAGGGGCACACAGACATTGGTAATTGTTTGCTGATAACTGCAACAATCGCCGCCTTCAGCAAACCCCAAATGCCCCCCGGCTAATGCTCACGTATAGACTCGCGAGCCTACGTGCCAAATTCTCTTCTTGTCCCAACGTTCATTTCAATTGGAATTGTTTTTTTTCGCGAAAAAAACCTGCTGGTGCCTCAATCACCACTGAGGAGGAGTGAAGAGGTGAAGGGGGGGGGGGGGTAAATCCTCCAGGTGATGTGTTTTGGCCATGTCGCTGAGATGGGAATCTCTCCCTAAGTGCGTGCGGCGTTGAGGCTGGAACAAAAGGCGGCCAGCCGTCCCCGTCCGATTTGGCGGTCGCGTCTCCTGCTCTCGCGCGCTCACCTAGCAGCCCGCTATCCGGTCGCCGGCACGAAACTAAGACACAGCCAGCCGCAGCCTTTGCGGTGCTCCCGTGACAACTTAGCCGGCATTTGCTACATCATTTAGCATGAGACGGGCATGGGCTGACTTGCTCGTATCGCATTACAGGCAATTTGAAATGAATACGATTAAACCACACAGGAGACAAGACGCTAGGCACATAACCAACAACAACAACAAAGTAACAATTTAGAAAGAGACTTAAAATGTATCATTTAATGTATTAAATTGTAAATATTTTAATATTTCCTCTAAGCAAATTGTTCTTAGTGGGGCAATTCCAAAAAAAAAATGTAATAGCTAACTGCTTAAACGAGAAATGAGGCAACATACATCTATGCTCAGGGCTCTAAGTCATATGGCTGGGGTCAGTCTACCATGAAGACAACCAATGATAAGACTTTACCAGAAAACAGTACTGATATTCTTGACCCAGAGGGATGACAAGCTGAGTTGATGAGGATTTTAACTCCTGACCGTCAAATAACGTACTTGCTGGCAGTACTATTTCTCAATTGTCACCATCATCGCCCTTGCGAGTGCGATAAAATTAAAAGACTGCTTCAGTGGAATAGACGTTTTCGTTTTTTATAGACTGGTCCCGATCATGGGAATGTGGAATGTCCATGACTGGCTCAGGACTGCCAATGAAGATAAGCCTTATAGAGGGTATGTGACTTGTTTAGTGACCCTGTTTACAAAACTAATTGAACACGCTTGGTGGACAGGAGTGCCGCTGTGTTTCCATCTTGTGGTAAATTGTGCCTGTCCACAGAGTCCATGACAGACGTTGCTCTCGCTCTTATCAGTGACAAACTGCCAGGCCAACACGGGCGGTGACAAAGAAAGCGGCAGCAGCAACAACAGAAAAAAGAAGTGTAAAAAAAAACACCGAGAGGCCGTTCCGGCACAGCCGCCCCTCTCTCCCCACCGTCACCTGACCGAATTCCCCGGTGTCATGTTTCACGGGACCAGTGGCCCTGACCGCCTTTCCCTGCCATCGCCCACCCACTCCTCCCCTACTCCGCCATCTCCGGTGCAAGGCATGCGTGCCGTTCCATCATCGGCCTCGGCCCCCAGTCGAACCCTAAACTTCAGTGGCAGCTTAGACGCCAGGCGCTGACCCGACCGCACACAGGTGATGCTTACCCACCCCCCCGCCCACCGCGTTTCCAACACCACGCCACCCTCGCCTAACCTAGCCCTCTCTGAAGTTTGGAAGACTTAGGAAGCGAGGCGGCAAAAATAAGAAAAAGAAAAATGAAAAGAAAAATTGAGGGACGACCAGCATTTTGGAGAAGGGAAGTTGTCAAAACACTGCTGTTGGAGGGCCTTCGATGGTGGGGACCGAGGCTTCATGATGGCATTACTGTTTGCTGCAACCACACAGACGCCAAGCTATTCTGAGTTACACCAGCTTGGAACTTGTCTTCAAAGGAGAGAGTATAACATTACTGCACTTACTCATAATCTATATTATGAAATGAAAAGCGAATTCAGACATTCCAACCGGATGCCCTTATTTATAAGGCTTCTATTGAAAGCACTGAGCCAGTGGTGGCATTTCCACATTTCTAGGACAGGGACCAGTCTATCCTGAAGACAGAAAGATGGCTTCCCTGAAGGAAACCTACACATTGAGATCTCTTCTCTCAGTGACCGTAAATAACCTACTACGTCTGAATTACCCTTTTAATTTACTGCACAATGTTATACCACTTATTACCGATAACCATTGTTGATTGTTGCCAGCCTAGGGGGAGTATGGTTGCTGTCAAAGTAATGTGGAATATGAACCAATAGTTCAGGGTCAGCAGCAAAGCTGAGTGCTACAGCAGCGGTTGCTTGTTGAACATATAAAAACATTGATTTTATTTCATTACAGAAATCCTTACAGTCTCGTTTTCAGGAGTGCCCCAGGAATGTTTGACCAGTTTCTTTTACAATATCGATTCCCTAAAAAGTCACTCTTGCTCGGCTTACCACCATCATGGCTGGCAAACACGCAAACACCAAACGTAAAAAAAAAACTGCACAGATGTGATTTGTGAACAAATGTTTACAGTAACGCAACGCTGACACTGACCCTGAATGTTGTGATTTTTATGTTTCGCAAGGGATTTGAAGACGAGTAATTGTGATGTTTTAAGTGGGAAACCCTCGGATTTGTGGTGACCCGGATCAAGATTACGGGTGAGAGAAACGCAGTCATCACAAGCTCCAAATCCCCTTTAATCCCAGTAATGGGTGCTGAGTTGGGTACCTTCATACAGAGCCCCCTCCTGTTCCAGCTCTGCAGCTCTAATGAACAGCTCCCGCGCCTGCAACGCAACACAACACAATGTGGATTTATATAGCATCAAGTAGGAGACAATGTGGGTTTACGTAGCGTCGAATAGGACACGTGGGTTTAAGTAGCGTCTAACAGAACACAAAGTGGGTTTATAGAGCATCTAATATACACGTGGGTTTACGTAGTGCCTAATACAACACAATGTGGGTTTACGGAGTGATGAATACAACAAAACGTGGGTTTACATATCATCTAATAGGACACGTGGGTCTACATAGCGTCTAATACACAACACAAAGTGGGTTTATAGAGCATCTAATATACACAATGTGGGTTTACGTAGTGTCTAATACAACACAATGTAGGTTTACGTAGTGTCTAATACAATACCAATGTGACTGCATCTCATGGCACTGTATAGAACTGACACGGCACAACAGTGCAAACATCGTCAAATCATGATCCTCTGCAGATAAGAGTTGACATCAAAAAATACACAGCACAAAAAAATAAACGGCTCTTGTCATTAGGCACATGGCAATGCATCAATTAAAACGTAATCTTACAAGCATGATACATCAAATTGAAAGTTTAATAACAGGACATTTACAAGCAATACAAATCACATGAAAATGATATGCTGTTACACTGATGTAATCTTTCAAAGCCTTTGTCTAATATGATGTGGTTGACCAATGTTCGTCTTGCCAGAGTTATATTCCGAATGTGCTACGTAACGACATGAAAACATTCCCATTGGAGATCTTAAGACGAGCAATGCTCCACATTGTCAATTGCCTGAGAAGATGTTGTTACAGAATTACTTAAGTCACTTCAAATCTCCTTTGTCAACATGAGGGACATACTTTTAATATGCCCTGCAATAAATGTTTGGTTTAACACGCAGGCTTTCGCGACCAATATTATTCATAATCAACGTTTTTGGGTTAGATCGCGTTATTTATAAATGTGTCGTAACCCTCCACCACCCGACATGGCCAATCAGCAAAAAGTGTCACGTTGACACTCCCCCCTCCGCCTCAAATCGTTGCACCTGATGAGTTAAATGATGACGTCACCCTGCTGCTGCTCTATTTAAGACCGGGAGCAAGAGCAGAGCCTCACCATTCTGGCAAATTGCTCGATGATGCTGGATGCAATTACCAGTGAAACGTCGTACTCAAAAATTGTAAATGTTGTGGTTTCACTCTTCAACACACCGGTGGGCTAAAGCAGTGAACTATTTGTCTTTTGTTAACGTGACACTTTTTTGCTGATTGGCCGTGTCGGGTGGTGGAGGGTTACGACACATTTATAAATAACGCGATCTAACCCAAAAACGTTGATTATGAATAAATGTTTGATAAGTGTCAATGAAATGGAAAATGTTACATCTCCAAGCTGGGATAAGTCACGGCTCGTGAAATTACTAATCTAATTATGGGTTTTTCACGTGCAGTTATTGCCGACCAGGCTGAGACCATAAAATCAATAACCCGAGAACCTGGCTTAATAACGAGCAGCTGAAACCCAGATTTAAACCCAGGTTGTGAATGGTTGCTGGCTCAGTGTCTCTACCACGGTATTAGCCCAATAAGCACCTGGCCACCAATGAACAAAACGAAGAACATTTAAAGTGACTTTCATCTTAACGACTGCCGTACCTTGTAATACATCACCACGTCACTATAGGCAAGCGTCACTGAGAAACAAAAACTAGAATGCATCACACTTGAGCTTAAACTCCGACAAACAACAGGCACTGTAGAGCACGTGCAGAAGCAACAGTGCGATTTGCATCCGACAATAATTCAGAGAAATGTAGTCCCGTGGCTGTCACACAAGGGCGTATGTAGGCGTCTGTCGGGCGCAGCGAGATTAAATGAACCAGCGATGGCCAAACGCCACTGGCCAGAGCTGATCTACGGTACGCAGCCCCACCTGCTGGTAATGACCTATCATGTACAACCAGGTGTGCAGCCTCTTGTTACGATTAACCAATTGACACTGATTCAACGCTCACTCGGCAAGCATCGAATTCAGTGCTTTAGAACGGATTAATTATTTAATGTTAATGTTTGCACACTTGTTCACCGGAGTGAATATAAAATGTTTGATCTATATTTCGGTATGAATGAAATCGCAAAGTTAATCGATCAAATTTTCATTTCTTGTTCTATTAACTGTAGTTTATTAAACCAATTTCTTTTTGGTCTCATATTTAATCTTTATTCTGTATTTGTTGCAACCCAAGTCTCACTTAAAAAGACGTTGACTCTCAACGGTTTATCACCCGGTTTAAATTATGATCATGTATTAATTTTGAACAGACCACTGCACATATGTAGCACAGACGTACATTTGAAACAATTCCTAAGCACAAAATAAAATTTCATTTACCAAAGTGGACAATAAATAAACGAAGAAAACAGTGCACAATGAATATCATTTTTAGAAGGTCAGATTTCAACCTCCTCTTAAATTATTTACAGCTGCAAAGCAAATTGCACCGTTGTGGAGCAGATCCCAGAGCTGCGTAGGGATACAGAAAATGCCATGCCGACTATTTTGAAGTTGGTATGTGGTTGCACCCAAATGACCTGACGAGCCGATCCCTGCAAATCTCACACGGGAACATAAACTTGAAGCAGCGCCTTGATGTAGGAGGAAGCCATGGAATGAAGAACTTCACATGGATTGAAGCAGGTCTTGGAATTCACAATTCATAGGGAAATCACTGTTGACATCCCTACAGAGAGTATTCATTTTATCAACGTATGTAGAACTTCTTTCACAACATACGTAGCTAACCGTGCCATAGGGTTACAATTTTCCCTGCTGGCTTCAAAAATGTCATCAAGCGGCAATACCTATCTATTAAGCAAGTGTGTAATGATACATTTTAATGAGGGAACCAGTGCATTGCTACAACCCTAAATAACGAGTATGGGTGACGGTGCCAATTCGGACTGCCAGCGTCTCTCCCCCTTGTCGCCGCACCTGCTCTTCTGCGCAGAGCGTCGTCTTTGCTCGGTCTTGCGACCCCGGCTGCACCGGGGACGGCACCGGCAGCTGCGGGGCTGTACCACCGGGCAGGGGGCCCTCACGGGCAGTACCCCCTCCTGGGCGGCCCCCTTTCAGCTCCGAGCGCCAGCGCTCCCTGAACGCCTCCAGCTGCTCCTGGCGGCGGCAAAGGACACGAGCCTCAGGCGCAACCCAGGTGGACTGTTTCCTCTGGCCCCATTATGTTACAACACAGCATCATGTGGATTCACAAGTGTGACCAAACGTCCCTCAGCTGTAGAAGACACATTCGGCACGATTAGGGGTCCGCACACAATTATATTTTGGCGAGTGTGTAGATTAATTCTGTGGTCTGTCTTGCCATTGAATTCTGTATCGGCCGTGCCTCATATGCACTTGACATTTGCTCTTGTCGTGTGTGCCATTTCTCATTTGTGTTGCTCATATGTATTGCCGCATTTGTAATTTCTCTCTCATTTGTACTTGAAGGAAGAACGGAATCGGCTGTATTTCAATTGCACCATTGATGGCATGGGATGAGTACGTTTCCAACTGGAAATTCAGCAACAGATCACCTTGTGTCAGGAAATAGCCCTGAACGATGACATGGCAGAATAATAATATAAGAAATGCCTTCATTTACCCAGGAAAGCTTTAGCGAGTCTCAAGTATAGCTCACGAGAAGGTCATCCAAGGGAAAACTTAATTAATTCCATTAACGAGTGTTTGGTGACTTCTGAAGTACCATCAATAATCTGCACAACATTTTATACACCCTACAAATTGCATGAGTTGTTTGTTAATAGTCCAAAAATGTACTCCAAGAGCTAAAACGTGCCAAATTAGTGAACCACCAATTTAATGCAGTATTTTTATGCTGCCAATTGTGCCCAAGATAAGACCAGTAAATCACAACTAAAATCCAATTAAATCATGCAGGAAACTAACTAGGTGCTTTCACGCTGGGTTCAATCCTAATCAAGGGGGTGATTAAGGCTCATGGGATAAGTTGTAGAAGGATCATTAAATGCATTTGTTCTGCACTTACATTCAGATTCTTTTCTGATGCAGCCTCTTGCTCATCATCACTGTCATCCATGAGAAAAGAGAGATGATCTTTGTCTCCTTCAGCCTGTTAATGCACATACACCCACACAAATACATAAGCACACACAACAATGTCCATTTCCCACTAAGTAAAGGTGATATCACTATAGTGTTCCAGATCTTCCCATACCACATCAGTCATCTCCTCTCAAGCTTGTGCTGTACCCCTTTGGCCCCCTCTATCTGGTCAAAGTGAAATTGCTTTGGCATACAGTAACTGGGTATGCAGCCAACACAACCATGCCTGCCAAAAAAGCTTACTGATGTGACTGTCCAGAACATTCGAGTATCTGTGAGCTCATTGCAGCGTCCAGCCTGGTTAAACCCAGGAAGGAACGTCGGAAAGCCAAATGTTTCAAGCATACGCAGGTGTACCTGTGAAAGGTACCACGTTTCGCAAACATAAAGAGACTTTATAACTGTGTCCGAAGAGAATCGGAGACGTGTGTGGAGTAACATGCCAGGCAGTTTCTACACAGCGTAACACGACCGATGAAAATAGAATGCTGTGTGACTGATCCGAAGCGAGACCTTTGCTATCCAACCAAGAGCTGGTCATTAGCACACTATCGGGTATGGGAACTCCTCAAATATCTCCACAATTGCCCTATTACTCACGGAGAGGTAGAGGTGTGGAGTGTTTAATGGTACAAAATATCTAGGCAAGTGCAGATGCAGACATAACAATTGCAGGCGATTTAAGTTGATCAATTTCCAGGTCCAACTTAACGATTCAATTTAAATGCCGAAAGCTCCAACAGCCAAACATAATTGTTTACGGTAAATAATCGAAAGAGTATCAGGAGGAATCTCCCAAGCCATGTTGTGCAGCCGCCTTCTTTACGCGCTGTGTTTTAACAATGTTGGAACACTTGTATATCCCAGTAGAGAGAGAAAAAGAGGATTTAAAATGTATTTTAAATTTCACCACTAGATCGGAAGGATGCAAGTTCAAATCGTGGCAGGGAGGTTGACTCATCCGATCACCTCTGCGGAGTTGATCAAGATTAATACGACGTTGTACTTTGGATAAACTCGCCCCTGTCATACGACTGTGGAAGACACCGTTTGCACATGGCTATAAACAGGATAGGAGCACTGCCTCAATGCTCATTGGCGCAGGAAATTCACTTTGTTTTTAGACATCACTTCAGCACGCATGTCTCTCAAAGTGTTATGCAACTGTTCCCATGTGGACCTATAGGCATTGCGTTTTCCTCATATCAGTCTATGGGTATTCATTCATTTTAGTGTTTAGCCCGGTACATAACTGTTTGTGGGAATCACCAGTGAACCAAAGCCTGATTGCCACTGTTGTTATCCTGTAAGCAGCATTAATTCGTTATCCGCGTTAACCTTCTGCCGAGGACCAAGTGAACCCAAACATCTTCAGCCATTGCCTAACCACTGCCGGATGAAGGCATCTCCTACCACCGCGCAGTCTGACAGGCAATCTTTTTCAGTTAACATTTTACCGAGAAAATCCCTTGAGCTGGAACTCGTTTGCAAGGGTGCCAAACGTGTTATAATCCTCCAACAACGATGCGAAGGATTATTCCGAGTTATGTAAGATATCGTAATTATCGGCAATTCACCCGCATTGGCTCGAGCAAAGCGTGACTGGCGATGGCACACCGAATGTTGAAACCGGTCTAGAATCTGCTTGTGTTGAAACAATGCTCCAGGATTTCTCCACAATTCTTGGCTGTCCGCCTAATGATGCTGGTTGTAATTACTCGCGAAACGTCATCGGTACTCGAATTGTAAATGCTGTGGGTTTACTCTCCGACACACAGCGGTGTGCTGCTGTATTAGTATCGAATTGGCATGTGACATGTTTGTTTGTTGTAGTACAGAGTTAGACTGATGGCCTTAATCTAAGTTGTCTTATGGTTATTGTTGTTCTTGTTTGACTTGCATCCCACTGGGATTTTTGCACACAGCGTTGGTGTACGGTGTTTTTTTCTGCAATATTTTGCTGTCTTTTCTTGGATTTTCTGTTTGCACTTAGTCACATATTCACTTTAAGATGTTTTTGTTCATGTTTTTGTTGTTTGTTGCGGTTGCACCCGATTCAAGAGCCGAATGGCTCACAGGGCTATACCTAATGAATGAACTTGACAGACCTTACTAATTGGCTGTGCCGGGTGGTAGTGGGTTTAACGACACATTTATATTTCCTTATTATTCGGTGTGCTGTACTAGTAACGAATGGTCACGTTTTGTTGACGTGACAAACCTTATTGATTGGCAGTGTCGGGTGGTGGTGACGGATATAACGAAGCATTTATATTTACGCGATCTAACCCAAAAACTTCGATTTTGGATATTGGTCGCAAAATCCTCCGACTTGTTAAACTCAAATGATACTCTCGGATGGGTTATGAATTACTTTTCTACATTTTATTTTATGTGGAGACGCAGATATGTGGAGGAGACATTGTGTGCTTGCGTCTTGTCGCAAACAGCTGTTATGTAATGACACGTACACACACATTTTTTTTAAAATCTACAACCCGTACAGTAAGTAGGTCAGCAGCGTGCGTGACGTCACGCGCAGATGGGAGGGCGGACCGCGTAAATGACGTCATACCCGCACGCTGTTCGCAATAACATCGACAATGACGACACGAGCGACCGCTGCGATGACGTCATTACCAAAGAACCCCCCCCCCCCCGCCTGTCAAAGAGAAACGACGCAAGCTGCAGCTCCTATTGGCGCGCAGGCCGTCACGTGACGTTGTAAACACCCCCCCCCCCCGGCGACCAATGAGCGTCGAGAAGGGGTGAGCTGGTGTCAACACTGCCGTGTTGGCTACGCCCCCCACCCCACCAACAACAACCCCAACAACAACCACCCCAACAACAACAATCACCCCAACAACAACAATAATCCCAACAACAACAATAATCCCAACAACAACAATCACCCCACCAACAACAACAATCACCCCAACAACAACAACAATCACCCCAACAACAACAACCCCCCCCACCCCACCAACAACAACAATCACCCCAACAACAACAACCCCCCACCCCACCCACAACAGTAACCGCCGCCACTCGCCACACAGTGGCAGTGACGTCACCACGGCGTTCGTGCCAGGCTACGTGCGCGTCTCGGCCCACGGTGAAGTTGTCGAACGCCCCGCTTGGCAAAAGGAGGTGAACAGGAACAGAGGCAGCGGGTGCCATGAGGTCGGCTGACTTGAGCCGAGTGCACCGATGCAACTCCGCCCCTCACCGCCACGAACGCCTCTCGCGTCTTCGCCTCAACGCGACCGAGTTTAAAAGCAATCGCCGCCGCCGCTCACCATTTGCACCCGGCTCGAGCGAGGGGTTGTCGACGACGCGCGCTCGCCACGCGGCGCTCAGCACAGTTCACGGTCGGTGAAGCGAACGACGCAGCGAGCATCGCTACGAGCCCTGCGAACCGCGGCCATGGCTGAGACGGAACTGCGAGGCCACGCCCCCCTCCCTCCCCGGACCCCCCCCCTCCCTCCCCCGGACACCCCCCCTCCCTCCCCCGGACACCCCCCCTCCCTCCCCCTCCCTCCCCGGACACCCCCCCCTCCCTCCCCCGGACCCCCCCCTCCCTCCCTCCCCCGGACCCCCCCCCTCCCTCCCCCGGACACCCCCCCTCCCTCCCCCGGACACCCCCCCTCCCTCCCCCTCCCTCCCCGGACACCCTCCCCTCCCTCCCCCGGACCCCCCCCTCCCTCCCTCCCCCGGACCCCCCCCCTCCCTCCCCCGGACACCCCCCCTCCCTCCCCCGGACACCCCCCCTCCCTCCCCCTCCCTCCCCGGACACCCCCCCCTCCCTCCCCCGACCCCCCCCTCCCTCCCTCCCCCGGACCCCCCCCCTCCTCCCCGGACCCCCCCCCTCCCTCCCCCGGACCCCCCCCTCCCTCCCTCCCCGGACCCCCCCCCTCCCTCCCCCTCCCTCCCCGTACACCCCCCCATCCCTCCCCGAACACCCCCCCTCCCTCCCCCGGACACCCCCCCTCCCTCCCCCGGACACCCCCCCATCCCTCCCCGAACACCCCCCCCTCCCTCCCCGTACACCCCCCCATCCCTCCCCGAACACCCCCCCTCCCTCCCCCGGACACCCCCCCATCCCTCCCCGAACACCCCCCCTCCCTCCCCGTACACCCCCCCATCCCTCCCCGAACACCCCCCCATCCCTCCCCGTACACCCCCCCATCCCTCCCCGAACACCCCCCCTCCCTCCCCCGGACACCCCCCCCCTCCCTCCCCCGAAACACCCCCCCCTCCCTCCCCGTACACCCCCCCTCCCTCCCCGAACACCCCCCTCCCCCTCCCCGTACACACCCCCCCCCTCCCCGGACCCCCCCCCCTCCCCGTACACCCCCCCCCCACTACTCGCTAGACCACGCCCACTGAAGCCAAGCCACGCCTATTTTAGGGGCCGTCCGTAAATGACGTCATGCACCTAGGGGGGGTTGGAGAAATGTGACGTCACATCAAAATGCGCAACTTTAAATAAATATAGACAACACGTTCTACTTAATTAAATAGACTTTTTGATAAATATTTTCTCCTACAACATCAGAGTCACCGCCGCCACATTAAATACGCACTACAATGACAATAGTTTAAAGCGATTTGAAGCATGTTTATTTTCAAAATGGAAATATGGTTTTTGGGGGGGGGGGCAAAGCTTTGTGACGTCATATTTGAGGGGGGGGTCTGACTATTTGTGACGTCGTGTGACGAATGGGGGGGGGTCAAAAATCGTCCAAAATCGCGCGACGTCATTTATGGACGGCCCCTTATATGTTACAAAGACCATTTTCTCCTGCAACGTCACCTGTTCTAGGGGTCAACACGTACGGACACGCCCCACACACAGCCGGCGCCGCCCCCGGGCCCTGCAGGCCACGCCTCTGTGACAGGCCACGCATCTAACTGCGACAGGCCACGCCTCCAACTGTGACAGGCCACGCCTCTGACAGGCCACGCCTCTAACTGTGACAGGCCACGCCTCCAACTGTGACAGGCCACGCCTCCAACTGCGACAGGCCACGCCTCCAACTGTGACAGGCCACGCCTCCAACTGCGACAGGCCACGCCTCCAACTGTGACAGGCCACGCCTCCAACTGCGACAGGCCACGCCTCCAACTGCGACAGGCCACGCCTCCAACTGCGACAGGCCACGCCTCCAACTGCGACAGGCCACGCCTCCAACTGCGACAGGCCACGCCTCCAACTGGCGGGCAACCACATTAATGTGGTTCAATCTTAATTTTGGAGCTTTCGTGACTGCAGGAATTATTCTTCGGTTCTTCCTGTAAAGTCACGTATAAAGATAAAATAATAAATTATAAATTAAATAATAGTATGCTAATTAAATAATAGTATGCTATTATTTAATTTATTATTTTATCTTTATACGTGACTTTACCGAAAGAACCGAAGAACACATTCATGTGCACCGTTGCGGTGTCCACGGTAAGTAGGGCTCACCGTTGCCGGCGAACAAGCACGCTAACATTAGAAATACGGTGTTACCAGGTCGAGAACGTTACCGTCGAGGAGCCGATTAGTGCGGCTAAGATGCTTGCAGTGACACCCGTAATGGAGAATAGAGAACAAAAGCTGACGCATCGACTCTGGTCTCTGGCCACCTCGTGTTTGTTTTAACCACGGTTGCTGAGCACAAGCCCAAGACGCCAAACGGGCAGCAACAAACATCACCATTAGATGGTAGGTTGTAACAGATTATATTTGACAGGTTTGTAAATTGAGCAAGGTCATCATAATTTGGGAAAAGATGCGATGGGAGAGTCCTAAAGTAGATCCGTGTGAGGGAAGGAGCAGAAAGAAAAACGTTATGACCTGCAGACGTGGTCTGTCTTTCCGACAGACCTGTTCTTCACCTGAGGACGGCTGCTTGCGTTGTGGCCGAAACGTCGTGAGAATTTTATTGTTTTATTTTTATTATTTCCCTTCTACGTGACTTTACCGAAAGAACCAAGAAGATGAATCCCTGCAGTCACGAAAGCTTTAAATCGAAAAATCGTGGATGAGATGAAACAGTCTGCTAGACCGTGTCCTCAAAATGGAGGAATCAACGAGTAAAGTTTACAGAAACTAGCGATGGTACAAGTGATAGCAGTATGATAAGGAGGCAACTGACTGCCAATGAGTGAATGACTCAAGTAAATTGGTGAGTTCTGGACCACCAACCTGCTTGGAATCGTTGGAATCAAAACTCAAGTCACCCATGTGTATGATGAATTCACTTGCCCATGCGTGTGGGGAACTCACTCGCTAGCCCATGTGCTTCCAGTCTACATGAATGGAAGCGTTCATGAAAACAATCCCAGAAAGTCACCATGGTTGGAGGGATAGAAGACTGTTGAGGCGACTAACTTCCGGTACAGCCCTTTCTTCAACCACTGGTTGAGTACGTTCTCGCGCATTGTGGAGTTGTTATTGCTGGTCAGTGCGGGTTGGTCAAGGCAGGGAAGGAGCTTCGACGTTGAAGCATAGTATAGAAAAACAATAACCTTTGTTGCACTGCCCAAAAGTGTGGTGGTTGACCAAGCACTATCCAGGCTCATGCCTACACAGCTTCCAAGATCTAACGAGATTGGATTTCACACCTGATGATGATTGCTTGTGTTGTAGTTGAAACGTCGTGATAATTTTTATTGTTTAATATTTCTATTATTTCCCTTCTACGTGACTTTACCGAAAGAACCAAGAATATGAGATTGGGTGCATTATGGGTCATTTTGTCAGACTGCTGTGGTTAAGGAAAAATGTCACCCCAACCTAAAATGTATGTGAGCAACACCTCTTGATCCATGGTTCTACAATACCAATTATTTCTCAAGGCATAAACAAACCCCTTCCCTCAATACAGCACTGGATGTTCCATCAGTATTCTTTCAGACCGTTGAAAGTAGATACACATTATGAGTCCAAGTTAAACTTTTTCAGCAACCATATTATTGAATGTATATCACTACGCCCAGGTAAAAGTAATTTATTTAAGCCCACAGGTGCCCACATGTCTCATTCAGCCTAGGTCTATTAAAACTTTGCAGTACAATACTGAATAAATGCATAAATATTCTTAGGTTTTTTCGGTAAAGTCACGTAGGTAAAACATCAAAATTAATGAAGTGATGCAGCTAATCCGGCTGTGACGGTCCCACCTGATGACGGAGACTTGTGTTGCCTCCGAAACGTCGTGATTTTTATTTTATTTTATTTTCATTAATTTTGATGTTTTACCTACGTGACTTTACCGAAAAAACCTAAGAATATGAATCCTTGCAGTCACGAAAGCTTCAAATCTAGAATAAATGCATAAAGTTCAACACAATTTACCAGATCTAAAAAAAAAAATTTTGCCACCTGAACATAAATGCCAATTCCTGGACTGTTCAAATCAAACCTAGACACGTGGCAATCCTAGCCTAAAGAATCATAAAATGGATAATGTACAATGCCTTAAAACCTTCTCAGTCGTGCCAGTTAATGGCCAACCTGCTAAGCTTGCAGTATTGGGAATGAACATGAACATGTGGATACAAACATCAAGTGTCCAAACTATACAAGCCAACATCAATTCAGCATGCTTTCGGTCACAGGTAAAATTTCACAGCCATGTGATCAAATAAAATACTTTAAGCAAATTATTTTCTTATATGTATTTCTGTGAGATCTCAAACAAATAAAAAGTAAACCTAGAAGTTAAAACTCACACAAGTTAAATTCTTAATGCATGTACTGTACCTATATTTAAGCATTATTTTTTTTAATCTATATTGGGGGTCACATTGCTCAACAATTTGAATGTATGATAATTAAAATACATGATCTTTTAAAGTAAGACATAATTAAAGTGTGATCAGATCTTTGTCAGATTTGTGAATCAAGTGTATTTTGGTTCCTTTATTGTAACCATAATGGCTTAAACATGACAACAACACATGCTTGGATTAAAGAGGCAGATCATTGAGTAATAATTTAAATTGTCAATTTAGTAAATGGCCATGAACTTATCCTGGAAATAGCCAAACATTTTTTTTTTTCTGTGATATTAATATCTTACTGCACAACTGTGCTTTCTCTGGTCTCTGCAAAAGAAATAAGGGATCTGAACACACACATCTGATTAAGGACATCAATCAATAAAGCAAAGTGAAGGTGCAATTAAAGTTGTACACGACAAAAGTGCACAAAATGCGACATCGCAGTGCATACACAGCAACAATCTAACATTTTCAAACTGAAAACATTTCGCTATGATCAATACATCTATTTCAGTCTAGAAGTTTAAGAGAAACATCTCAGCACCGGACCGTGTTGTGGTGATTATGCACGACTGTCAGTGACGTGGAAGCGGGGTTGATGGATCAGGTAGAGATCACCGGCAGGATTTACATCTTGCCAAAACAGCTGAAACACATCGCCTTTATGTTGCTGCTGATGGAGACTGACATTCTTCTCAAATACATTGAAGATCAAGTGAATATATATAGCCTGATGTAAATGAGGCATTGGCAACGTGATGCCTAAAGAAAACTGTGTATGTATCTATGTTGAACTTCTTTCGCACCGTACGTAGCCAACCGTGCTAATTGGAGGTGCAGCAGGGAGGATGCTGAACTGCTACCACCACCACCGCTCCCACCTCCACCACTGCTGCTGCCAACACCATCAGTACTGCCTCCACCACTACCACCACCTCCATCATCATCGCCACCACCACAATCGCTGCTGCCACTAACACCACCCTTCCCACCGTCACCACCACCACCACCACAACCGCTGCTGCTGCCACTAACACCACCCTTCCCACCCCACCTGCTGCTGCCACTAACACCACCCTTCCCACCCCAACACCACCGTTACCACCACCACCACCACCGCTGCTGCCACTAACACCACCCTTCCCACCCCAACACCACCACCACCACAACTGCTGCTGCCACTAACACCACCCTTCCCACCCCAACACCACCACCACAACCGCTGCAGCCACTAACACCACCCTTCCCACCCCAACACCACCGTCACCACCACCACAACCGCTGCTGCCACTAACACCACCCTTCCCACCCCAACACCACCGTCACCACCACCACTGCTGCCACTAACACCACCCTTCCCACCCCAACACCACCGTCACCACCACCACCGCTGCTGCCACTAACACCACCCTTCCCACCCCAACACCACCGTCACCACCACCACAACCGCTGCTGCCACTAACACCACCCTTCCCACCCGAACACCATCACCACCACCACAACCGCTGCTGCCACTAACACCACCCTTCCCACCCCAATACCACCGTCACCACCACCACCGCTGCCACTAACACCACCCTTCCCACCCGAACACCACCGTCACCACCGCCACTGCCACCTAATTACGCCAGCTCCAGCTGCTTCTCGGCAATGCCACGCGGGGACACGAGTGTTGCAGGGATGCGGCCGTTGGTGATGGCGCGGGTGAAGGAGTCACCGAGCGGCTGCGCTCGTTCCGCCGACACGGTCAGTTTGCGACGCACATCCATACAGCGGCGCTCCAGCCCCAGCGCCAACACCTTGCTGGCGAGGTCCCTCTCCACGCGCTCCAGGCTGCAGCGCAGGCCCGTGAGTGCGTTGCTGGCAGCGGGGAAAGGTGGGGCGACATTGAGGGGAGGGTGCAGAGGTTATGGGAGAGCTCCGTGAGAAACTAGAATCGATATTAATATGCTGTCTGTCACCGGAATGTCAACGTCACAATGTCCGGATGAAAAGGATCGTCATGTATCCAAATGCATTATTGCTTCATATTTATATTCGAGGCGTAAATTAACATGCGGGCGTGAGCAGTCGCTGCATATATGTGTAATGAAACCCTGTAATGTGTGTGCATTTTCCTGTATCTAACATTCCACATTTAAACAAATAAACCCCATTGACACTATTTTAAACTCCAGTGCAACTAATCTTCCCCTGTATTACATTTTATCCCCATGTAACTAAATATTTACATGTCTATTATACTTTTGATGCTATGACCACCGACCACATGAGCTGTGCACCAATTATATGTCATTAGTGTTACATGTCATTAGTGACGTGTAACTACACTTTTTGCTTTAGACATTTGTAAAAATAAAATGATATTGATGAAAGTGTGTGGTTTGCAAGTGGCAAAGTCTGGTAACTCGTGTATGAAGTGACGTCACAGCTACGCCGTGCAGTCTGGCTATTTCCAAGTCAGTATTGAAGTGTGTGTCATGTGCCGTGAGACAACATTGTGTAATGAAGATCTCTACTTTTAGTTTTTTTCGGTAAAGTCACGTAGGTAAAAAAAAAAAAATATTAAAACAACTAAATTAAATCACGACGTTTCGGGCGCAACACAAGCGTCCGTCTTCATGTGGGGACAGACACAGCGACAGAACAACCGCTTAAGTGTGCCTAAGAGATGGATGTAACGAGGGATTAGAGAGCTGCGGGAAGGGGCCAGGGTGAGTGTGGGGGTGGGGTGTGGGCTGGGAGGTGCCATCTCTTAGGCACACTTAAGCGGTTGTTCTTTCTTTTTGGTTCTTTCGGTAAAGTCACGTAGAAGGGAAATAATAAAAATAAAACATAATAAAATAAAAATTCTCACGACGTTTCGCTGTGTCTGTCCCCACCTGAAGACGGACGCTTGTGTTGCGCCCAAAACGTCGTGATTTAATTTAGTTGTTTTCATTTTAATTTATTTAATTTTTTACCTACGTGACTTTACCGAAAAAAAAGTATGGATCCTTGCAGTCACAAAAACTTCAAATCTAGAATTAATGAAGATCTGTTGAGGGAAAATGCCCAACCAATTGAATTTACCGGTTAGTTGGATAGAAGCGTGTGTAACTGCTCTGAATTGTGATACCGGTAATTATTGCTGACTGCTAACTTTCCGAACAATATGACACTGCTGTGGCTTAAATGGGTAGTGAGTGAATGTAGAGCAGAAAATGTGATCAAGCAAAATGCCTCATAACTTCTCACATCAAAACCAGGGACACGCTGGCAGGGAGCCGCCCCAAAACGTGGCCACAGCAGCACCTCATGCACAGTGCTACTCACTAGGAATCAGCCAGCTTCTTCTTCAATGCGGCGATGGTGGCTTCAATTTGATGAACTTCAGTGGTGATGCCATACTGAGGCTGAGGGAAAGAGGCAACAACCATCGCAGCAGACACACAATGCAACGTTGTCACAAATGTGGTGAGGCGTGATTATGATGCCAGCTTGTCATTGTGATTATGAACACACTAGATGACAGTTTGTTGAAGACAGTGAAGATCATATCATGGTGAGGATCAAACCAGCATCAGAGGAGAAGCGGTCTCTCACCATGTAGAGGTTGACTTGCAGTTAAGAGAGAGGGTGATGTCTGTATTTGAACATGATGGGCGCACTCCATAAACGATAATCACAGAAAGAATTGATTCCTTGAATCAGTTTATCACTAAAAACGTTGAAAATTCTATTAAATCACAACGTGGACAAATCAATACACTTTTCCTCCGTGAGCAGCAACGGATGTAATACCACTCGTGAAAATGACAACCACGATGACGATGACGAGGAGGGGGAGAATACCTCATCACGACATAATTCGACCCCAGAGCGGTAAGTGCGCGTCTCCAAGCGCGTGTGTGCCACCTTCAGTGGCAACATCTTAGCACGAACATCTGCTTCCAAGTGTGCGATGTCACCCTCCAGCACCGAAATCTCCTGCTTGTTCTGAGTGGACAACAACCAGAAGAATAACAACAACAACAATAACAACGCCATTTATGATACAAGAAAGACTCACCGAGTCTAATTTTTCACCAGGGTCCTGCATTGCTATGTTTGGCCAATTCCTTTTTAAAGAGTGCTTTCCAAATGGGAAGAAATGCAGTACCCAAATAAAACTAACACATACGATGGGATAGCATGAAATGTTAGAAATAGATAGGTCATTACAAAGCTTACTTTCTCTACTGCCATCTCTTCTCCACCTCAGAGCCCAGTGAGTTAAGGAGCTTTAATATGTAACAAACTAAATGACATCCACACTACTACACCGCTATGCCATATTACAACTGTAAAACTATAAACTATTTTATTTTTCCAGGTAAGGCCCACTGAGCTATATAGTTATTTTTCAGAAGCGACCTTGTCACAAATGATAACTCAATTAAGTGGCTTATCATGTGGACATTTATAACAGACACATACTCAGATGAAGGTTTTGGTGAAGAAGTAAAAGGTCCAAGTTGTATACCACGAATACAAACAAGGGGTGATTTCATCTTCATGCATGGCCCTGAGCCAGAGGTGGAAATTCCACTTTCCCATGGGAGCAGCCACTCTTGCTTGAGGATGACCGAAATTGACATCAGTGACTACAGTGGCAACAGAACATCAGCATGGCTCTCATCCCAGCTAGTGTGTTTATAAACATGACCCCACACCTCCGATTAGTACGGTTGGCTACGTATGGTGCGAAAGAAGTTAAACATACATACATACAAAGATATGATAAGTAAGCAGTGATAAAGAGAAGGCTGAACAACTCAAGGTTAAATTACACGTCACAGACACACAGCCACCACAGCTCAGATCCTGGGTTCAAATGTGGTGTTCAGTCACCTGTGATTTAACCAGGTTCTTAAGTGGAGTGAGATGATGGTCTCATCATTGCACAAAGAGATACAGTATATTACTTATTCTTTGATTTAATTCATCATATGTAGATTTGATTTTCACATGATAAACACTCTTGGTAGGACATATAAATGTGTCCATCTGATTTGGAGACAGACACTATTGACGCTGCAACACCAGCATTAGCTGACATCATCTTCATAACACAAAGTGGTGTGCTGCTCACCACAAACTTCAAATGTAAATGTCTTTCTCTTTATACAACATAATGCTGATAACACAAATTGGAATACAACTGGGAGGAAAACACATAAGCATAAATCACGTAAAGAAGCAATGACGGATGTGCTCACTCACGTTCTTCTTCTGCCACTCCAGCTCAGCCTTGACCTTGTCGAGTTCGTGCGAGCGCTTGCGGAACGCAAAATCGGTGCTGTTCTTCTGCGCCTCCAGCTCATTTGTCGTCTGCACGCAATGGACGTTATGAAATGTAAGTCAGTGGGGGTCACCGAGCAATAGACAACAAACGCTCGCTCACGTAGTCATGCTGCTGCGACGAGCAAGGATCAACGATACCTCAGATGTAAGCGTGCTACCGTGGGGCCAGTGCTAGCGTCATCGTTATTGATTAAAATCGCTTCATACTCTCTTGGTGATTGTTTCTTTGGAAATTGTATCAGCAAAATGGTTCTATAAACCCTCGCAATGCCACGAAAGAATCAATTTGTGAATTTAATTTTGATCCCGAGTTGTGTTTAAAAAAAAATGATTTAAAGCTTTCGTGACTGCAGGGATTCATATTCTTGGTTCTTTCGGTAAAGTCACGTAGAAGGGAAATAATAAAATAAGAAAAATATAAAACAATAAAATTATCACGACGTTTCGACTGCAACACACCTGATGATGATTGCTTGTGTTGCAGTCGAAACGTCGTGTTTAATATTTTCATTATTTTATTATTTCCCTTCTACGTGACTTTACCGAAAGAACCAAGAATATAAATGCAATGAGTATGAATTAATTGTAAGAGTGTAAAGTGGTGACAATAGAGCATTATAACAGACTAGATGAGAGCAGGACTGTGTGGAGAGGCAGCCTCTTGCCTGGGCGATTGTCGCGGTGATGGCCTCTCGCAGCACAGACGAGGCACGCATCTCCGCCATGGCCCGCTCCACATTCCTACGGCTGTACTCGTCCCACGTCTGCGGAGACGATGACCTGAAGCCCCCCCAAACCAAGCCCCATACCCCCCCCCCAAACAAGCATACACAAGGACATGCATCAGTATGTATTCAAGAATAGACATGCAGGTGCATAAAGAGTGACAAAAATCCACCATTTAAGTATGAAAACTGTTGGGGCATGTGGAGATAGGAACGTATGGCACAAGAGGTAGGTGTGTGGTGAGGACCACACCTGGCCCCCCAGTGCTGGTGTTTACTAAACCACACAGCAATGCTCATTTAAGGAGTTGACCTGTGGGGGAGGTCGAGGACTTGATCAGATATTACTCGCCACTAATAATCGCCTTCGCTGCAAATTCAACTGAGCTCACTGGGTGCGGAGTACATTCTGCTAACCACATGCTCCACCACTCTTCACGCACACATACGTGTGAACGTTACACTTCTTTATAACCTTTGAGCTATACCCATTTCAAACCTTTTAAAACAGTCTGCCTCAGCAGCAGACCATGCTTTCCCACCTGATGATGGACGCTTGTGTTGCGTCCGAAACGTCGTGATTAATTTTATTTTATACCTACGTGACTTTACCGAAAGAACCAAAGAGTGTGGATTCCAGCAGTCACGAAAGCTTCAAATCAAGATTGTTCCACAATAAACTACAGCTTTGAGGTGGCCAGGTGCTTCAGGAGACTAATACCATATCTGCTGAGATCCATGCTTTTAATTTGTATTTTAGCCACCTATCATAATGCTGGATTCTCAAAAGTAGGAGTTTGATAGCCTGGTCACCAATGACTGCACACAAAAAAATACCAGGTTAAATTAGTTGTATCATTTAATCGGGCTTATTCCAAACACTTGGTCAAATGCTCAATCGGAATTAACAGTATATCCCATTGCAGGACACTCTTATCTTGTTTAGGTATGATGACAAAGAAAAAGCTGGCTTCATTTGCCCATTACCGCAGGGCAGGTAAATAGGCGCACCACCTGATGTGGATAAGAGGCAAATGTAGGGAATTCAAAAGTAGCTATGTGATGTCATCTTTCAGAGGCTGTTCCCTAACATGTTACACACTGTTTTCAGTGAGAGATCTCAAAGGAAATGTCTTAATTTCATCACATATCAAGCACACAATTGGAATACAATTGAAATATATGATAATATAAACAGATAAATAGCCGATGACCACATTACCTATATTGTGACCAGATCTCAGAAGCTAAGTAAGGTTGAGTCTGGAGAGCGCTTAGATGCGTGACCACCATGCATAAAACAGGTTCTGCAGACTGCTGCAGGGCTGCTGTGATGGGCAGTAAAGGGCAGTGCAGCAAAATCCATTATTGTACTGTACTTTCATGCTCCAACATCTATGCTTCCTTCCTTCACCAACCCAAACTAACCAGCCCAGTCAAATATGGTGAAATACTCCTCACGGTCAAGTATGGTCAAATAACTCCCGTGATATTCAGCAGTGGATTTACAAAAAAGCACTGTATATGTGGACATACATACAAATGCAAAAGTAACTACAGCTCCACCTCGTGCAACACAATGACAGCTTGCTCGCCAGATGCTCACCCCTTGGGTACGCGCATGGGGTTGGGTTTGAGGGAAATGGTGGCCGAGGCGTTGTTCAGTGCCCGGCACGTGCTGTCGATCTCCAAAGCCTCTTCCTTGTCGCGCACATCCCCCTGCAGCTGTTGCCGAGCCTCCTGCAGCTGACTGTTCCACAGACGAGGTACGACACCAAGCACACAACACACACCACACCGCACTTCCGATTAGCAAGGTTGGCTACGTACGGTGCGAAAGAAGTTCAACATACATACATACCACACGTTACATGGACCACACGACACACAGTCGCTTAAATCCCCGGTCGGCAGGTGATCGATCCACTGCACGGGAAGGCTCCAGTGAAAGCTGTTGGAGCACTTCTCTGCAATGTGCACTGAGATTCAAAACAGCAGCATGATGTTAAATTTACGTGTGGTTATCCTATGGAAGTAACGACCCATCGTGTAGGAATATATAATTTCTGGATGGATGTGAGGGGCAGGTAACCCCTCCGCCTTAAATGTAATTACCAACTGGACCGCACATACACGCTCAGACAGGAGTGCACTAACGTACGGTGGCGAGATGTTAAATACCTTGCCTGGTATATAGGAGGTCGTGGGTTCGATTCTAACCCTGACGCCGTATATTTGGAGTTTGTGGTCGCGTGGATTTTTCTCTGGGTTCTCCGGTTTTTCCCTCCACATTTATAATCAATATGCGTTTAGAGTATTTGGCTGCTATACATTTCTACGTGATGATAAGCCACTTTGTTGCGCTATCATTTGTGGCCAAGTCGCTTCTGAAAAAGAGCTACATAGCTCAGTGGGCCTTATCTGGTAAAATAAAAATAGTTTAGTTTAGTACTTCACCCCAGCTGATGAAAGGGTTGTTGACACACACACAAAGACCCAGATATACAGAGACACACATGCACACACACAGGTGCGTGCTAATGCACTCACCACAGTTGCAGGAAGGCATCGTTGATGCGTCGCGTGAGCGCCTCCTTGGCTCTCTCGATGGTCTTGACCTCGCGGTGCAGCTCGTGCTCCACGGGGTCATGCACAAGGTCGACGCCGCGACGCGCGTCGCGCAGGAACAGGCACTCCGTCGCCACCTGCAGCGGCACCGCCTTCGCCTGCAGTGCACGCTCCGCATCATCCTTGGTCTACACGGGAGCACGTCGTAATGAGGAGCAGGGGGAGAAGAGAATCGGCATCAGAAGTTGATTTCCCCGAGTAAAGGCCCATTTGGCTAAGAAGCTCTTTTTCAAAGGCGATCCGACTGGCAGACAAGATAAAAAGAGGGATGAGGAGGACTTTGAAAAGGACCAGGACAGACGGAGAGGGGGTTGACTATTAAAATAATTATACCTTTCATTTACCCAGGGGAGCGTGAATACGTTTCAAGGCTCTTTTTAAGGAGGGTCATACAGCAGAATGTGTGTTCACTTTCATCAGTGAGTACAAATTTTACCAAAATATTACCACTCTCATCATTAACACTTAATGGGCTCATGTTTCTGGCAATTACCCTTTTTCAGAGCACCAGGGCACCACTGCAATCTCCCTGAATGTTTTGATCCATGTAGGAGGAAAGTAGAGCAGGTGGAGAAGCCCCACCATATATGGTAACAACTAAAGGTCTACACAGATTGATTCAAAGAACCATTACTGTTCTATCATCTCCTGGTGATATTTCATAATCCCAATGAACAGTGTTGCCTGTTTATGAAACATGAGAGCCACAACAGCAACGAAACAAGGCGTAAGGAATTCATGAAAAATGCACAATGATAAATGTCTGTACCTCATTCCATAGTCCCTATATTTAGATTTCGTATTTACGCCACACGAGATTCTGTGTCTCATTGGGCTCTTACGTGTTAATATAAAGTCTCCATAACAGAGCAATGTTGAAATTAAAAAAACACTGGAAACAACAGCAGAAGTTGGGGCATATGCCTGAATTTAACTGAATGCATTGTAGTGCAGAACTAGAGATGAAAGCAGCAGCCCTTTTCCAGCAGGAGCTGGGGCCTGACTGTTGGCAGGACTTGCCTTGGCGAGAGCATTGATCTCGGTGTCGGTGTCATCCAAGGTGTGCTGCAGCCGCTCCACCCAGCGCTGCACCGAGCTCATGCGCTCCTCCAGCCTCGTGTTGCTGTCATGTTGGTCCCATTTGGTCTGCGCACGGACGCCCAAGTCGCATCTATTAGACTCGGCAATTCTTTCATAATGACAACAATTCAAAGCGGTGCTGTGATTAGAGCACTCGACTCACAAATAGAAGGCTGCAAGTTCAAATCCAGGTGGGCAGGTGGCTCAGAGGGCAGAGCACTGTGCTCACACATTCTGAATTCAAATCCAGATAACCACCCCTGATTGAACTTGGTTCCCATCCTTCCAGGGTTGATCAATTGAGTAGCACTGGGTGGGAGATGGCTATAGATCCCCCTTTTACAATAACCGGAAAACGGTTAAACGGGATCATCCGTGTAACAAATACAATGTATTCAAACTTTGGAGTATGTGGAATGTAAAACACAAGCTTATGGGCCACTAACATTGCTCATTTGAACAGGTATACAATTTCCCATACCAGAATTGCCTTGTTATTTCCAGTGCTTTCAACCTTATTTTTACATTGCGTTATATAATATACTGCAGAGGGCACACTATTGTACAACTAGCATCATACGTTGCATGCACAATTGTGCTGTACTGTGCTGAAAGAGCAGCATGGTGTTGGCTTTTACTTTTGCCTAACGCAATTGGCAACCCAGTCGTATATGTTAAACTTCACACACGCTGTTGATAATAAGCAAGCACAAACCGGTCTGTACTTTTCCTACTTCACAAATGCGCCTGGAAACCATGAAGGATTAAATTATTGTTTAACAGTATTTCACGTTTGTGTTAATGGAAGAACAGGTCCTTGTCAGATTACATATCAATATATTATTCAGTGGCCAGCAGTGACATGAGAAGCAAGTGAAACACGTTCCTTCGGAGTGGGCAGGTAGGAACTTGGTTGGACAGCGCATTCATGCACGATAGACAAATATGCACGACAGACAGACAAATAATCCCTGGTGGGCAGTATGGAACCTGTTGTTCCTACCTGTATATTTAAATGTTTACGTAGATGTCATTACGTCTTTGTCTATGAATGCATAAATTGACTCGCTGCACACACTTGCCACTGAAATGTTCCACCTCGAGGCATTATCCAGGTGAATATCTAATAAATAAAATAAAAATGAGACAATAAGCTTGGTAGAACTTTTAATGATAATATCAGGAAAGCCTAACCCTGTCTGAAGACTCTAGCTGTAGGAGGAAACTAGAGCACCCAGAGAAACCCCATTGCCGGACAGGGGTAGAACATACAAAAACTCCACGCAGAAAGGTACCCGAGTCAGGAATCAAACCCAGTGCCTTCCTGCTTTGAGGCGCACGTGTAACCACTGCACCTCTCTGCCTACCAAAACCACTATTGTGAATTCAAGCCGAGGTGTTCAGGAGCGGGGTAGCACCTGATTGTTGCTCTGGTCGCGAAGGTGCCGAGCCTCCTGACGGACGGAGCGGGAAACGTCGCGCCGAGACTGGGCGCCGGACGAGATGCGCTCGCCGCTGTCGTGCCACTCGCCCACCGTGAACCGGCGACCCGGCTTCATGCTCACGCCCAGCATCGTGTCGTGCGGCAGGCTCCTTCAACCACGCGGTTCTCCCCAAGCTGGCCCTGCAGGGCGGCAAGGGAAGAGAGAGATAGAAGAAGCATCTCACATTCTAGATTTGAAGCTTTCGTGACTGCAAGGATTCATATTCTTAGGTTTTTTCGGTAAAGTCACGTAGGTAAAAAAAAATTAATAAAAGTAAAATAAAAAATTGTATTTTACTTTTATTTTTTTACCTACGTGACTTTACAGAAAAAAACTAAGAATAAGCATCTCACAGTCATACTCTTAGGTTTTTTCGGTAAAGTCGCCTAAGAGTATGAAGATTATGAATCCTTGCAGTCACGAAAGCTTCAAATCTAGAATCTCACAGTCAGCCAGCCAGCGAGCCGGCAGCCCCCTTTGAGTGCACCACAAGCATAGTCGTGATATGCAGCTGTGGTTGTTTTATGGATATAATGTCATTCCAACTAGCATTATGGAACCTTTCTTGCTAGTATCAAAATATAACGATAAGTAATGTGAGTGCTATTGTAGCTGCTCACCCCGAGCTATGAAACCTATTCTTATATATTGATACTGGCAAGGGAGGTCCCATGATGTAGCTGCTCGCCCCGAGCTCTCAGTGCCCTGATAGTGGCATTGTCTTTGTGCTGTTCGCCTTTTGGCGTTCTCTGGTCTAACACTTTGAGACGAGGCTCAAAAGAAAGCTGTCTCTGGTGTGGACCAATCAGTTTAAAATACGATGCATATATTATCAGAGTATGTTTTTTTGTTTGTTGGTTAATGCAGACAGGATTCCTTTTGGTGTTTTAACATCTTCACAATAAAATACGTTTATGCAAACTGGAAGTCATTCTCCAACTGTCCAGTAGGTGAGTTTTCTCATTTGTTGTGTTTGGGGCCGTCCATAAATGACGTAACGCGATTTTGGACGATTTTTGACCCCCCCCCCCTCAAATATGACGTCACAAAGCTCTGCCCCCCCCCCAAAACCATATTTCCATTTTGAAAATAAAACATGCTTCAAATCGCTTTAAACTATTGTCATTGAAGTGCGTATTTAATGTGGCGATACACTCTGATGTTGTAGGAGAAAACATTTATTAAAACGTCTATTTAATTAAGTAGAACGTGTTGTCTATATTTATTTAAAGTTGCGCATTTTGATGTGACGTCACATTTCTAAACCCCCCCCCCCTTCGTCAGACATCGTCACAAATGTCTGACCCCCCCCCCCCCCAGGTGCGTGACGTCATTTATGGACGGCCCCTTTAAAAAATAAATTCCAGTGTTGTGATAAGAGTTACATTTCTATCGTGGATAATGACAACTGCGATGATTTGTACCTGTTCACCGTAACATTACCACTTATTATACCTCATTACAGACACAATCACTCGTGACCATGCGGGAAAATAACCCCCGCTGGCATGACGACTAAAACACACCTTGCTACATTTTTTTATTTTATTGTTTTCTTTGTATTATTTTAATATTTCCCTTCTACGTGACTTTACCGAAAGAACCAAGAAGAGACCTTGCTACCACAATTACCAATGTGAACCTCATCGTATTATCACCATGAACCCCTTGACTTCACACAAGGACCATTATCGCAATTAACATCAACTATTGTTTCTTCTTACCGCCCAGATGGAGCATTGTAAGCACAATTGTACATCACACACATACTAATAATTGCCACTTACGTGTATGTATACACAAAGACAAAGATCCCCCGTGTAACCTTGACAGACTGTAGGGGCAAGTGATGTTAGCGAGCACCTATGAAGGCCGGCACAGCACACGAGGGGGTGGGTGGCCACCACCACACATCCACTCATTACCACAATCGCCGCCACACATGCCCATCACAACAATTATCACACGAGATACCTTACCACAATTACCAATACCCCGCAATTCGCTACGAAGTCAGTGACAGTAACGTCACCACGGCGCCTGTGCCAGGCTAGGTGCACAATTACCAATACCCCGCAATTCGCTACGAAATGACGGTAACGTCACCACGGCGCCTGTGCCAGGCTAGGTGCACAATTACCAATACCCCGCAATTCGCTACGAAGTGACGGTAACGTCACCACGGCGCCTGTGCCAGGCTAGGTGCACAATTACCAATACCCCGCAATTCGCTACGAAATGACGGTAACGTCACCACGGCGCCTGTGCCAGGCTAGGTGCACTTTGAGGCTATCGCTGCTGCCAGGAGGTATTGGGACAGACCCCGGGTAGGTGCCGTGGGTCAGCCGACTGAGATGACCACCACCAGCAGCTGTACCCCCCTACTGTACCACAATTACCACACAATTACCACACACAGTCGTGTCCACGATAGCAATAACGCACACACTCAGCACCGCAATTAGCACTGACATTACCGCAATTGGCTAATGCGAGTCAAGTTTTACTGTACTTCAGACAACTTGTGCATTATCGATCACGAGTCGTTATCGCAATATCAGTGACCACACACACCCGTATCAATTACTACACATACACACAGACAATCCGTACGCTTTAAGTTAAAACTTTACATAAAATCAGGTTACGTGTCATTTCAATTCAAACGGCAATGAGCCATGAGTTAATTTACATGTATATATCTGCGTGTGTATAAAGTATATAAAGTATAAAGTGTATTGTGGTCTACAACATTTACCGTCACCATGGTTCCCCACAGTGGCTGGCAGTGTTTCACGCTCACCTCAGCGCTGAAGAAATGTCGACGTTGCCCTTGTTCGCTTTGACGAGTGGTGTTTGCCGCCGCTGCTGTAGTTTACCGAATTAAAAAGTAATGTTTGTAACGCCGCTTTAATAATGTTCTACAACCACCAACACTGAGCGAAGTCGCCACGTGTCACTACCCTCTGGGGCCTTCCCGGAGTCCCGAAAGCTTTGGGGAGGGGGGGGTTGCCTAGCAACCGAGTCACGTGGCGCCGCCTCGACCAATCGCGTGGCGCGTCAGAGCGCGTCGGTCGCCATGGAGACGCCGCGGTGACGACGCTTCGTTCGATCAAACACTCAAGTCGCGAATTTAATAAAATTTAAATTAAAACTAAAATCAATAAGAGGTTAATCTTTTTTTTTGCATGAAAATTTGCTGTGGGTTTCACACCTGATGATGATTATTTGTGTTCTTGGTTCTTTCTTATTTTTATTTTTTTATTTTTTTTATTTTTATTAAATTATGTTTATTTTTATTATTTTAATATTTTTTATTATTGTATTATTTCCCTTCTACGTGACTTTACCGAAAGAACCAAGAATATGAATCCCTGCAGTCACGAAAGCTTTAATTAAAAAAATATAAATGTGTCGTTAAACCCGCCACCACCCGACACAGCCAACTAGTGAGGGTTTGTCACGCTAACAAAACGTGGCCAATTCGTTACTAACACAGCTCACCGCTGTGTTGGAGAGTATAAAACCCACCACAACATTTACAATTATAGTACGACGTTTCGCCAGTAATTACAACCAGCATCATCAGGCAAGGGTTGTGGTGGCGGGTTTAACGACACATTTATATTTAAGCGATATAACCCCCAAATAAAAACTGGTCGCGAAAGCCGATGTCTTTAAACAATATATTAAACTTCCATTTAAAGCTTTCGTGACTGCAGGGATTCATCTTCTTGGTTCTTTCGGTAAATAATAAATATTTTATTAAGTTACTTTTTATTCTTTTATTATTTCCCTTCTACGTGACTTTACCGAAAGAACCAAGAAGATGAATATATTAAACTATTTAATTTTATTTGAGCTAGACGGTTCTTTTTCTGAAGCTACCTGGCCACAAATGATGGCTCAGCGGAGCGGCTCATCATCATGTGGAAATGTATAACAGCCAAAAACTCTAATAAACTATTTTTTAAATGTGGAGGGGAAAACGCCCCGAGGTCGAGGGTCAATACGGAATTCCTTCACCGAATGAACGGGCTCCCGTCATGAGAATGTAGAATTTCCAAGACTGGCTCTTGGGCCAGCCGCCCCAAAGCTTTAGTTTATTTTATTTACCTCGAATTAGGATCAATATCGAATAGAAAGAGTCCCTTTATCAATACACAGAATGTATATTTAGACTGGAGGAATCCGATTAACTATGGAGTTCTTCTTCTTGGTTCTTTCGGTAAAGTCACGTAGAAGGGAAATAGTAAAATAATAAAAATAAAACAATAAAATACAATTCTCACTTTTTTATTGTTTATTTTTATTCTTTTATTTCCCTTCTACGTAACTTTACCGAAAGAATCAAGAAGATGAAACCCTGCAGTCACGAAAGCTTTAAATCGAAAAATATGGAGTTATTTTTCACAGATCTCCAATAGACGGGTCAGCAAGTTACAACAACATCTGGTAGTTCACCAGCTTTGGCTTAGGTAGGGTGGGTGGACTGCTGATGAGAGACTGAATGTCAAAATTAGTCCAGAGCTTTGCTACAGTTGAACCAATGGTTCAGACAAGCCCGACTCTGCTGATGAGACAATGTCAAAAATAGTCCAGAGTTTTGCCCGAATTTAACTCAAGGTTGAGCAAGACTGATGCTACAGGACTCTCTTAGCATCTAACATGTAGGCTTTCGCGACCAATATCATCCATAATTACTGGCGAAACGTCGTGCTCAAGATTGTAAATGTTGTGGCTTTGTTCTCCAACACACCGGTGTGCTGTACTAATAACGAATTGGCACGTTTTGTTTATGTGACAATCCTAATTGGCTGTCGGGTGGTGGCGGGTTTAACGACACATTTAGATATTTACGTGATCTAATTTGTATTATGGACTCTCTACCAACTTTTGTACGTTGACTTGCTTGACGTGCAGGCGCAGTTAGATGTGAAATTTACACTAATTGTAACCGGAAGGACCCATGCAGTTGGTGGAAGCTTGCAGACAGCGGATTAGACGGGGTTAAAAAAAATTATGCCCTTTGGAATACGTCCATCATCGGCCATGATCAATTCAAGCCATGATTTATCCACTGCTGTATGACGCTTTTGGCAAGCCCACTTGCTTTTCTTCACGATCCAATTGACACTCTTCGGTTACCTACGTGACTTTACCGAAAAAACCTAAAAGTATGAATCCTTGCAGTGACGAAAGCTTCAAATCTAGGTCCAATTGGTGTCTGTTTATGTTCCCAAATCTATTACCACCTCTTCGTCTCTTGTGCAATTCCAAACACGTCCCTTTCCATTCCTCTTAGTGCACTCTTCGATGCTTCTTTGCACACGTTTCGGTTTGCTCCATATTCTTCCCTCGTGAATGCTCATGTGCGTGATCCATGTCACAGCAGGTCATATGCACTCATTAACGCTTCCTCAATGTTATTTGCTTTGAATTTTTTAACTGACTGCCGGGCTGGATAGCGAAACAAAAGCTTGCGCACAGCAGATTATGACAAAGACCTGAACAGCTTTGGAAGGTAGACCTAAACAGCCACACTCCGAGCCAATCTTTTCCTCCATAAAATTTAAACGAATTAATTTGTACCCATTTTCAGCCCGCATCGAGCCTCCACACGAAGACAAAACACGAGGCGGTGGTCTCAAAAAGTGAACCAAAGTATTTTATTAAACAGTCGATAATTCCACGTATATATGGTATAGTACCTGCCGGTTACAGTGTCATAGGCAATCGATCACAGGCTCCGAGCCATGTGGCTGGAATCCAACCTTGGCTTAAGTGGCCCACGACTCCGGGCTACACAGCGGCCGACTTGGCAGTAAGTGAGCAGCCTGTGGTGCTCTCGTTACAAAGACTGGAGATATAGAAAACAATTAAACCAGCATGTCTCTTTTCTGTGGGAGCAGTTGAGCTCTCTCCATAAAAAGCTTCAGGGCTGTAAGTTTTTTTAAATATATAAACTTTTAAAAAATAACAAAGCAATGCTAATTAAAACCTGAATGTGAAAATGTATTGTGTTTTATCAATTAGACCGCCTTTGCCAGTACCAAAATATAAAATAGGGGTTTTCCTCTTTTTTGGGCAACAAAACTGAAACCTTTTTACAAGGATTCATGTCTACATTAACCACAATACTTGTGGTCAAAATGCAAACAAAAAACACACAATGATAATATATGCATTGTCCTTGAAACTGATTGGTATGGACTGCAAGTATTGTGGTTAATGCAGACATGAATCCTTCAGTTTTGTTGCCAAGAAAAGGGGAAAAACCCTATTATTATGTATTGTTTGTTTTAATCATTGCTGTTTCTGCTTTGCTTCGACAAATGATCATTAAACGTTTTAAAAGGATATTCAGGCCAACGCCTCCGTTTATTTATTTGAATAAGCCACAAAATTCCTTGGCAATTGCAAATTAGTGATTGATGAAGACAGTCATTGGCCGGGAGGTGATGTTCAGCTTTGCAGCCAATCAAAACGTAGACGCCAATCAGCTGGTTTTGAAGTGAGCAGTGTGGGGTGCATCACGATAAGCGTGCTGTTTGTGCTCGTGACACCAAGGATGTAACACCGCTTCTGTGCAGCCTCAGTGTGGCAGAGCCTTTGAGCCTCACTCACTGACAAGTGTGCAACGATTAATTTCACAGGGTGCAAAGGTCAACCGGAAACGCAGCTTAATTACTTGTCTGACAACAGCTAAGACCACACAGCAGCACGGCTGGGAGATTAGAAACCTGGTCAGAGAGGACTTGACCAAACCTCAATCATCGCAATCATTTATTGTACGGTCGTTCAAATGAGCATCGCAGGTCGGTGAAGTTGAAGTCAACGGTGGTTTCCCCTGTTACATGAAGGAGTGTTTGGGCCCTGTCATAGGAAGGTAACGTTTCCAATAACGTCTCGAAACGCCAATGGGGATGCGCACTGCCCAGTGATTGTTAGAACACGAGGACACTTTGGCATTTGTGCGTTCGTGGCTGGCGTGAGCCTTGCGACACACACAAAGACAAAGATCCCCCGTATAGCCTTAACAGACCGTTGCGGCCAGTGCTGTTAGCGAGCACCTGTGAAGGACGACACTACGGCCCGGCCGCCTTTATCTCGCTGGTGGTGATGTTTACACCAAGCACCAGGCACTCTTATGACGCCGAGTCAACCTTGGGGAGGACCCAAGACCGGGTCAGATAATCGTCACTGGTGTTGGCCGTGCACGGGAATTGAACTCGGGTGGCCCAGGTTCGTAGCGCAGCGCGCTAATCGCTTCACCACCGCTCTATGCAGTGTGCCTAGGCACAATGTAAACGGGCAGCGGTGCTGATAAAGCTGTCGGTTCCAGCCACGGAAACAAGCGAAGGAAGAGAGGTTTGGGCCAAGTGGTAGAATTCGTTTGGAACCTCAGCAAGAAGCGTCTCTTGTGGTTACACACCGAACTGAAATGCTCACGATGTAGGCACACTGGAAGACAAGTTTAGGTCATGGTTAACAATTAAAGCTCGGATTATTGTTTTGCTCACCAAGTCGTAACTTTAGCAGACAACATATCAGCTTGCACCCAACCTCAAAGTGTTGTTATTATCGTTTGACACCCTATGCACATCCAGTTTTCCCCGTGTTTCAGCATAGTCTATCCATAGCGTTGCATAATTTTCACACACGAGAAAGGAAACTTCTACAAGAGGGCACACACATAGACAAACTGGATTCCCAAGACTAATATATTTTTTAAAATCTGTTTGGTGTCAGAATGGCAGAAGAAAACCCTGTGCCGTTTCATAGTTGCCGCACGTGCACTTAGAGGAGGCAGTAATGTCGACTTTTTTCCCCGTGGGCTGCCAAAGCCAGGAGCCCCAAAAACGAATATTTTGCAGTGAACGGACCAAAACCATGATCTGTACACAAATGTTTAGTGAAAAGCTGCTTTCAGTGCACAGCCTTGTGCTACATCTAGTTAATGCTCATCATCTGATTTTTTTTATT